TGGATTTTTGTATATTAAGTTATGATTTGTTAAGTCAGAAGTACCAGCGCTGGGTAATTTGAGTGGTTGGGGATTCAGGATGGGATGGTAACAGACTTTTGGAACCCCACTTTAGCAGCGGCTGCAATCGGGATTGGTTTCCGCCCTTGAACGATGGGCCCGGTCTTTGGGGCGCGCACCCTTGTCGGGTGACCGTCCCACGATCCACATTGTCCGAATTGTCGTCGTCATCAGCAACCGACCCAACACGCGGCGTCCGGTGTACCGACCGAAGTCCCGTCTTATCAACGAGACGTCTGCGCAGCCTGATGGCGGCTTCTTGAAAAGGAAATAACTGCTGCACTGTTATGGTACCGGCCTGCCTGTGAGGATGACGGGAGGCACCGGCCAGAAGTTCGAGGCAGCAGCGACCGTGATCGCTGGTGTAGCGTCCCTCGCCGCGACGCTGCTCTCCACTGTGTATGGAACTCCTTTTCTAGGCCAACCAGTGCTTGGTTGCAGACGTGCTGATCATGTTGTGTTACAGGTCAATATGGCTACAGACGTAAGATTCCTACGGTTTCCGTCCCTGTGATAACTTACTCACACGAGAACGACAGCAAGAACTACCGGAAACCGTTGCTGCAACGATATGTGGTTCGCATTCTGCTCATGTACGGCTATCAGCTTCGATCTCGAGTGAGGAGTGCTGAGTGTGTCTAGGGTTCCCATATACTCGGTCTCGTCATGGACCAGCATGGTCTCCCGCACAGCAGCCGACATCCTCAACCCTATACGGGACGTCTATGAGGTACGCCCTGCATGTGACCGAAGTAATTGTCGGCGTGAAACTCATCTTTCTAGGCCTTCACAATATACACCTTTTTCCAGCTATTGATCAACTACCTTGGCGGTGAGCGAGCTCTCATCATCATGACACACGGCCGCGAACCGGTTAACCACCTCTGGCCGCTGAACCACATCCTTCCCCGAGTCGACATATCCGACCCCCATACCTTCCTCGCAATCAAACGCGGTATCCTGCAGTACGCGTGGCTGAAGCCAATACTCTCCCTCGCCGCCATTATCATGAAGGCTGCGGGTACATATCAAGAGGGCTACATCGGGCTTAAGTCGGGCTACTTCTGGAGCGGCATCATCTACAACATCAGCGTCACCGTCAGTCTCTACTCGTTGGGGATGTTTTGGGCTTGCATGCACAATGACCTGAAACCCTTCCGGCCGGTTCCAAAGTTCCTTTGCGTCAAGCTCGTCATCTTTGCCTCGTACTGGCAAGGCTTCTTATTGTCCATCCTCGTCTGGCTTGGCGCCATCCCTGATCAAGTTGAAGGTTACACCCCAGATAACCTTGCGGCAGCCATTCAAGATTTCTTGATTTGCGTCGAGATGCCGGCATTTGCTGTTGCTCATTGGTATGCCTTCTCGTGGCATGACTTCGCTGACAATCGGATCGCCTCGGCCCGGATGCCCGTATTATACGCAGCCAGGGACGCCTTCGGAATTCTCGACCTTATTCAGGATTCAAAGGAGACTTTCAAGGGTGACAAGTATGGCTATCGCATTTTCGACTCAGGAGATAAGATCATGGCCCATGAGGCCTCTCGGTCACGATTAGCTCGTATAAAGGATGGAATGCGATACGAACGAGGAGGTAAAGGGAAGTACTGGATACCAAGGCCGGACGAGATCAACCAGACAACGCCGCTTTTGGGGGCCAATGGAGGACCTAGCAGAAGGAACGGGTCGCTCTCGCCGCACACCAATAGCCTTGATGAGCTCGTTCTCGACCCTGACGAGGAGCTTCTGTATGATAGCGCCAGGAAGCTCGAGTTTGGCGACTGGAATGTGAGTCTCCCTTTCTCTTCTTCCTCTCGTTCAATCCGCTGACATTTGTACCTATATAGTACCCCGTCATCACCGTAAGTGAGCCAGCGAGTGCGCGGTATATGTCGCCGCACCCCAGCCTATACCAGCACACACCTACCGGTCGCTTCTCCAACCGCTCCTCATCAAGCTCGGTGCCCACCCTCAATCCCGATGCACCGCTCGGACGACGAAAAAAGGAGGCCCCAGAAGGCCCCCAAGCAGGGGTGGGAGACAAGAAGGGCAAGAAGAAGGATCTTTCCGATGCCCGACGTCCCAGCTCGACTCACGAGACGGGCATGGACCCACTTGAGATCGCCTATGGTCCGACTGTGGGGACACACACAGAAATAACAACCGATGACTTCAAGGTTGATACAGACAGCGGACCGCACAAGCCTCACCAGGAGTCTGCTCGGTCAAGCCGGCGGCCTCACACGGCGCAAGATGATGACGGCGTGACACGGGAGGGATCAGAGCACTGGGAAGGAGAGGAGGAGGAGAGGAGGATGAATCGCAAGACAAGCAGCCCCAACTACGACGCGGTTGAAGGGGAGGACGAGTTTCGGAACGTTTGGGGAAGGTGACCATCGTGGCCACGATTCACGGCTTCATTCTTTATGAGTGTCGGGCGTTGTTCGGATAACCTTTGATACCCCCTTCAGTTTCAGGAGGGTCATGGTGGGTGAGTGTACGTCAGTTGAGCATTGCTCCGGAGTTTCTCGTTCGGGAGACCTGAGGTACGGTAACGGCGCGTGGTTGTATGTAGAGGCACTTGATTGCTTAGCAGATGTTTTCATATCTAGCAGGTTCAGCGATCTCTCATCAAGCAAGAAGCCGCCATCATTGGCAGGTGCTCGTCGGGCCTTCCTAGTTGTTGGATCGGCGATTTTGCAGCCCTGACGAGTACACATTCCGGGTGTTTCGTTGCCAGCACAGTCCCTTGGTTTAACAATCAGTGCTCGTGTTGCCAAAGGCGAGCGAACTTCCCAGCAAGTGCGTCGTCCAGCATGTTGGTCAACTGCTTGGTAGACGGCGTATGAGCAAAGTCGGTTCTTCTGTCGCCGCATGGCTCACTCTCGATCCAGTGGGCTGCCCGGTGCTGAGACAGCAATTATGACACAGCGACGGAGGGGCCAATTCCAGGCTCTCTACTACGTCAATGAGCGGGCCCAAGCTCCCACCACAGTCGGTGCGCGCAAGAGCTTCAGCAACTCTAGGTCTCAGCTTAAGAAAGCCCTCAGGCAACTGCTGCTGTAGTCTGGTGCATCCACATTATTCGGACTATTTTTTGGTTTTGATTTGTGAGATTGAATCTGCAGTTCAGTTTTCAAAAACGAGGTACGTTCATGGGCAAAACTTCACTGTCGCGGGGTTCCCTTTTCTTCAGCCCGGATTGGCAGGAGGGGCAAAAACAGGGCTTGACCCTCGCCGTGGTCAGTTGCATCAGCCGACGCACAAGTCGAGAAGGGGCCAATGGACGGGCTGTAAATCAACGATGCGGTGCCCCACCATGGCTTTTACCCCTCCTTCCTCCCCGCTGCCCTCGCATTTTTCTCTCCCTCGAAACCGCAATAAAGGACTCGGAACAGCTGGCTTTCCCAATTCCACCTGTCCTTGACTTGACGCCTTTCTTCTCACCAGCCTTCTCTTGTTCCTCGCTATCGGTCTGGGGCTGATAGCTAAGATCCACTGAGGAGGACTGCGGGAACCCTGGTCAGCTCTCGGGTTCGCCCAACCTTTTATTCAGCCTACTATCTTGTGAAGAGGAAAATTTGCCGAGATTCTTCACCAAACCTCCATCACCATATCAAATCCCATTTTAGCAGGTCACCGTCAATACCGCCAAAATGGTCAAGTAAGTCCTCCACGGACCCCCTGCCGTCGTGTCGTTCCTCCTAAGTCGAGCTGCTTGTTTGCATCGTCGCCCGTTCACGATGCGCGGGCTTGAGCTTCACTACCCCTCCCGGAGATAAGGCACACGCCCGACGGCGATGGCAGATGATGGTATTAACAATCGTTGCTCGATAGCTTCACGATCGAGGAGATCCGTGCCTTGATGGGTAAGTCGGGCAGACAGTTGGGTGCTCACATCCAGGCAATATGCTTACTCGGCCGCAGACAAGCCCACGAACGTGCGCAACATGTCCGTCATTGCGCACGTCGATCACGGCAAGTCCACTCTGACCGACTCTCTGCTGGCCAAGGCCGGTATTATCTCGTCCGGCAAGGCCGGTGAGGCTCGCGCGACAGATACCCGCGCCGACGAACAAGAACGTGGTATCACCATCAAGTCCACCGCCATCTCCCTCTACGGCACCCTGCCCGATGAGGAGGATCTCAAGGACATTGTTGGACAGGCGTCGGACGGTAGGCCGCTATTCTTGTCGGACCCCAAAACAGCAGGATAAAGCTAATAAGGCGCTACACAGGCAAGGACTTCCTTATCAACTTGATCGACTCCCCCGGTCACGTTGACTTCTCTTCCGAGGTTACTGCCGCCCTCCGTGTCACCGACGGTGCCCTCGTCGTCGTCGACACTGTCGAAGGCGTGTGCGTCCAGACCGAGACTGTGCTCCGGCAAGCGCTCGGTGAGCGCATCAAGCCTGTTGTTATTATCAACAAGGTCGACCGTGCGCTCCTCGAGCTTCAGGTCTCCAAGGAGGACTTGTACCAGTCCTTCTCCCGTACCATCGAGTCGGTCAACGTCATCATCTCGACCTACCTCGACAAGGCCCTCGGTGATGTCCAGGTCTATCCCGACAAGGGCACCGTCGCTTTCGGCTCCGGTCTCCACGGTTGGGCCTTCACCATCCGCCAGTTCGCTACTCGGTACGCTAAGAAGTTTGGTGTTGACCGCAACAAGATGATGGAGCGTCTCTGGGTGAGTAGCCTCACCTACATGTACTCCCGGAATTTTGTGTCGTCTAATAGGACATAGGGTGACAACTACTTCAACCCCACCACCAAGAAGTGGACCAAGAACGGCACCTATGAGGGCAAGCAGCTCGAGCGTGCTTTCTGCCAGTTCATCCTGGACCCCATCTTCAAGATCTTCTCGGCTGTCATGAACTTCAAGAAGGACGAGATCGCCACCCTTCTCGAGAAGCTCAACCTGAAGCTTCCTGCTGAGGACCGCGACAAGGAAGGCAAGCAGCTCCTCAAGGCTATCATGAGGACTTTCCTCCCGGCCGCCGACTGCCTGCTGGAGATGATGATTCTCCACCTCCCCTCTCCGGTTACTGCTCAGAAGTACCGTGCCGAGACCCTGTATGAGGGTCCCCCCGATGATGAGGCTGCCATCAGCATCCGCGATTGCAACCCGAAGGGTCCCCTCATGCTCTACGTCTCCAAGATGGTGCCGACCTCCGATAAGGGCCGCTTCTACGCCTTCGGTCGTGTCTTCTCCGGTACCGTCCGCTCGGGTCTTAAGGTCCGCATCCAGGGCCCCAACTACACCCCCGGCAAGAAGGAGGATCTCTTCATCAAGGCCATCCAGCGTACCGTCCTCATGATGGGCGGCAAGGTCGAACCCATCGACGACATGCCTGCCGGTAACATTGTCGGCCTGGTCGGTATCGACCAGTTCCTGCTCAAGTCCGGTACCCTCACCACCAGCGAGACGGCCCACAACATGAAGGTCATGAAGTTCTCCGTCTCCCCCGTCGTGCAGCGGTCCGTCCAGGTCAAGAACGCCCAAGATCTTCCCAAGCTCGTCGAAGGTCTTAAGCGCCTGTCCAAGTCCGACCCTTGCGTCCTGACCATGACCAACGAGTCTGGCGAGCACGTCGTTGCAGGCGCTGGCGAGCTCCACCTCGAGATTTGCTTGAAGGATCTCGAGGAGGACCACGCCGGTGTTCCCCTCATCATCTCGGACCCCGTCGTCCAGTACCGTGAGACCGTCACTGCCAAGTCTAGCATCACCGCCCTTTCCAAGTCGCCCAACAAGCACAACCGTCTCTACATGGTTGCTGAGCCGTTGGACGAGGAGCTCTCCAAGGAGATCGAGGCTGGCAAGATCACTCCTCGTGACGATTTCAAGGCCCGTGCCCGTGTCCTCGCTGACGACTTCGGCTGGGACGTCACGGATGCCCGCAAGATCTGGGCCTTCGGTCCTGACACCAACGGTGCCAACTTGCTTGTTGACCAGACCAAGGCCGTTCAGTACCTCCAGGAAATCAAGGACTCGGTTGTCTCTGGCTTCCAGTGGGCCACTCGTGAAGGTCCCGTCGGTGAGGAGCCCATGCGCTCGATCCGCTTCAACATCCTCGATGTTACCCTGCACGCCGATGCCATCCACCGTGGTGGTGGCCAAATCATTCCTACTGCTCGTCGTGTGCTCTATGCTTCGACCCTCCTAGCTGAGCCCGCCCTTCTCGAGCCCGTCTTCCTGGTCGAAATCCAGGTGCCTGAGCAGGCCATGGGTGGCGTCTACGGTGTCCTTACCCGCAGGAGAGGTCACGTCTTTGCTGAGGAGCAGCGTCCTGGCACTCCTCTCTTCAACATCAAGGCATACCTGCCCGTCATGGAGTCTTTCGGCTTCAATGGTGATCTCCGCCAGGCCACCTCTGGCCAGGCCTTCCCCCAATCTGTGTTCGACCACTGGCAGGTTCTTCCTGGCGGCTCTCCTCTGGATGGTACTTCCAAGGTTGGCCAGGTTGTTCAAGAAATGCGCAAGCGCAAGGGTCTCAAGGTCGAGGTTCCGGGCGTCGACAACGTAAGTCTTGATCCAATTGTTGTGAACCGAACACAGTTGCTGACAAGTCCTCAGTACTACGACAAGCTCTAAACAGCGCCTGCGGATTGGCGTCTAACTCGCTGCTTCGTGCCCTCAGCATCACAAGAGCCGAGTCGCCGTGGTTGTTTCCCGGCGGCCGATGGACTCGCAGGAGCATGGAAGAAGGAAACAGGAGGGACGGTGGTGGTGAAAAGCCAAGCCCATGGAGGATTGGCAACCAAAATCTTGCCCTAGTTGCGCTCGGCCTGTTTGTAGTAACGTAGACATGAATTACCGAAGTTTGATCAACAGTTGTCCGCGGCTTGTAGTATGCTTTCCGAAATGACGTTTGCTTCTTGCTTATGAATATCTGGGAATTGAAACTGCTAGCCTGCTCTAAGGTAGATGCCGTTGTGTTATCATATACAAAATTGTGAGGGTTTATCCCTCTGGACAACATCCCATGTGTAACTTGTAAACAAGCATAGTTTGTGCACCATAATACCACATATGTCAGGTAAGTGAGTAGGTAATATGGCACTGACTCGACTCACTCACTTGGTACCCAAACTAGCTCGTTGATCCTCACTTCTTTTTGTTTCTTCTTTTTTCTCCTATTTAGGGTCAAGGTTGCTGCGGCTGCGGCTGTACGTCCAGCGAGCGAAGCCTCTTGGACAAAAGTCCTTTGGCTACTGTGCTTTGTGTTGCGCTTCCGATGCAGTTTGAATTGTTGTCATTGTCGACACTGTTGAGGTTGAATATGCCGCCACTGTAGCCAGCGTCGCCTTTGCTTAGCTTGTCGTAGATTTCCACTGGAGGATGGAGGCTGGTGTTGTTGTTACTGGGTGTAATAGGGATGCTGATAGTGGAAAAACCCGTCATTTCCACTCCTGGCATCGCTGTTGTTGTTGTTGTTGTTGTTGTTGTTGTTGTTGTTGTTGTTGTTGTTGTTGTTGTTGTTGTTGTTGTTGGTGCTGCTTGTGCTGGCGGATGGGGTGAACGGGGTGGACGATGATGATGGTGATGGTGGCCATGGCTGAAAGAGAAGCCTGAGCTGCGCCTGCGAATGGCGCATTCTGGCGCTATCGCGGCCGCGCTGGGCAATGCCATGTTGTGGTGGTTGCTGCTGCTGGGTCCTGAGGGAGGGTGCATTACGCGAATCGGCTTGTAGGGGGTGAAGCGCGGGTCGGGGTATGTCACCTCGTTGCGGAGCCTCTCCTTGCCGTCGGGGACTCGGTTGGCGAAGACGACCCGGATAGATTTGTACAAATAGTAGCGGCCCTTGGAAGGACAGCAGATGTGCAGGTGGATGAGGTAACGCAGCATAGGGCGGTCTGATCCCATCGGCGCGTCCTTGGTAACGGGCGCCTCCGCTTCAATAATGGGCCCCGTCGAGTAGCTGCGCTGACGGATGAAGGTTTTGGTGCCGGGTTCCATGCCGGCCAGGTCGTAGGGAACGAGGAAGAGTTTGACGGCGGTTTTGTTTTGGTTCTTGATGATGATCTGGAGCTGTCCCTTCCCCGGGATCCGGTACGCCCCACCAGGCGGTGCCTTGGGCAATCTGGAGCAGCGTTTCTGTTTGCTTGCTCTGGAGGTCCCCTCGCCGTCGGAGCCTTCGGCCGGATTGTCGAAGATGGACGTCGTTTCTTCGACGGCGCCGTTGAGATCTTGGTACCGGGTTTGCAGCTTTCTCCTTAGCCGTTGCCCCTCCTCAGGGTTTGGCAGTCCGTTTTCGAGGTCGATTTGTCCCACATAGGGGCTAGGCCCATCCTCCATCTTAGTTCCCGCCGACAAGTTGCTGGCGTAGTTGTAGAAGACGGCCGAGAACGGCAGTGTCACATGAGCCGGGCAGCGAAGGGCGGCCTTGCATTTCCCAAGGCCCAGGACCCCAATCTGGGCGGTGAATTCGAGGGGCTTAGAAGGAGTCGTAGACATGCGACCTCTAAGGATACTTTCCTCGTATGACCCAACCATAGATGCGTGCTGCAAGGGGGAGGCTTCTGAGCCGATTGATGGCCGCCGGGGACGGAGAAACGCGGGCGTCTGAGGCGAGGTGGCAGCGAAGGAGAGGTTGGTCGTGGAGCTGAGAGACCGGCACGGCTGGTGTGCCTGGTATGGGTATGTGCCTTCGCGACGAAGACTTGATTGTCTGTGGCTTGCGGTATCAGGTAATGGAGTGTGGGAGAAATTGAGGGTATGGCGACGAGGTTGACAAGGGCTGTTGGCGTCGATCTTGAAGCTGTTTAGCGGCACTGCCAAGTCCAGCTCATCGTTGCTCTCGGACTGGACCAATGGGCTGGTTGGCGGCTTGTAGACAAAACTCGACGAGAGCGAGGAGCTCAAGGACGAAGGGCCGGATTTGAACGCATCTCTTCTATAACTGACTCCTCCGTGAGTAAAGCTAAAGGGTGCGTAGTCTCTCGGAGGTGATGCACCCATCCACTCATGGCCAGCTGAGTGGAAGGGGTTCTCGATGTCGGCAGCGGTATCATGTTCAACAGAGGCCCTGGGACTGGGAGACAGCACAACTGGCGTAAAGTTGCCGCTGTGCAGGGCTGATCGCGGACGCTCAATGTTCAGCCCCTTCTGTAACGGAGAGTCGATGGCCTCATGGCACAGGGTTGTGTCTTGCTTCTCGGGGGTTATTTTTCCAGGAGGCAGCAAGCCGGGAGAGGCTGGAGCAGCAGGCGGAGGGGTCCTGGGTGGCGAAGATGCCTTGTCCTGATGGAGCAGAGACTCAAGCTGATGATGTGTCAGAATTTGAAGTGCGACTGCGGGACGGATACGTACATGGCGGTTAGGAATCCAAGTAGGACTCTCGCCTCTCTTTAGGCGCTCTATGAGCTCGGCTCGGTCCGAGACGGCATGACGGATGGTGTGTTTTGGTGTGTGAGGTCTGGGAGGGCTCTCGAGGACGGGCCCTTCACACAGCTCGGTCCGATTGCTCTCCTCTGAGAGGCGTCGGGTGAGCCATGCCGCACTGCCAGGCGGAGTCCGTATCGGAATTGAGGCTGAATCACGGTATTGTGAGTCAGAGCGTTCCGGGTTCCTCGACCGCATACCGTCTTCACGAAACATGGGCATCTTGATGTGGCGGTTGCGGGTTCCCAGCCGGGCCGCTACAACGAAAACGGTCCGGCGTGGAAAAGTATCCCCAAATGTGCTTTGTCTCAATCTCGGTTTGTTGGCTATCGAAATATGGCGATGGCGGATGAGCCGAGTATGAGCGAGATGTTGTCACCTTATGTCATTCGAGTCTAGGCCACTCCTCATAGCGGGGACAGCTCACGGTTCGCCTCGTCTTGTCTATGTGCCCGCCTCCTCTTGGCGTGACAGGCAATTCGCCCAGAGTGAAGAAGCGCTACAGCAACCAACTGTCCTCTGAAAGGGGCAAAGAGTGTTCGAATCGTCATTCGAGGGTGTGATGTACAGGTTATGGGGGAGGCGGGCGCACAGTCACATGAGACCCAACGGCTGGCGGTTGGGTGAAGAAACAGAAGGAAGGATCTTAGTCGATCCGATCCGGTTATGACCGCCCAGTGAGCACAGTATGAGCTGAGACCTGGCTTCTTGATTGTGCTAGGGCCTAGTCGGGTGGAGTTGGGCCTGAGGTACAAAGGAGAAACACGCCGTAGGGGCTCTTCCCTTTGAGCAGTTTGTTGAAGGGTTCGGTTGTGAGTCGGAAGTGGCTGCATTGGCCATGACAGCACACCCGACAAGGGTCACAGGGTGTTTTTTTAACATCCACCAGTGAGACCAGACCCAATTATGTATAGTACATACGCACGCTGCGTCATACGGCCGGCAATGCAAGAGTCCCAGTTACGGACTTCCTGTTTGTTGTGATGATGCGCACCTATGAGGTTATTAACGTTACGGGTTTTTCCATTCAAGTCTGCATAGTCTTAATCACATCTGAAAATAATTCAATACCGAAACACCACCCTAGTTCACTTGATATAGGCAACCTAAAGATCACACGGATAATCTGGTCGATGGGGAGACAATTTAGGAAGTTGAAGTCATGGCGGTGGGTTTGTATTGCATAATACCAACGATGGGAGGTACTGTAACCTTGCAATAAATACTTGATATCCGTACAGAAATTTTCTCCCATTCCCCATGAACAGCTGGCTGTAGTAGGGTTATGCAGCTGGATTCAATGAGATGCCCGACAGAGCTTACGATCTGTTTCAGCGTCACAGTGCTTTCAATCTACTGAGTGGGCCAAGAGTCTAACCGCCCGCTCTGATAACGGATCCCTTATCGACACGAACCAAAATTAGTTTCCACGAAGACGAACCTCAACCAAGGAACAGTTGGGTCTCACTAGCAGACAAAGCGATCCAAATTGTCCAACAGTCGACAACACCTGCAACCATGCCTTCGAAGCGCCCTCGTGACGAAGATGCCAGTCCCGATCCAGGCGCATCACCTGCGCCAGTTGATGCCAGGAAAGCCAAGAAGGCGAAACATGGATTCCGTGTTGGTCCCGAGAACCTCCCGGACGGGCCCTGGCGGCGCAAGGGTAGGTAGTCCTGTGCCTCAAGAATTGCCATCCATCATATTGATCACAGCTGACTGGCCACGCCTGCAGTGACCAAGATAAAGAAAGAACTCATCATTAAGGCCAAAGTCAAGAAGCAATACGCCAAAATCAAGGCCGAGCTCCAGCAACAAGCCGCGCCAACAATAACGTCAAACGAGCACCAACACGAGGCCAACGCCCACTCAGACCCCCAAAATGATGGCCAAACTGCCTCCAATTCACAGCAAATCCACCCTGAGCGCCAAGCCATGCTCGACTCTTCTCCCGAACTTAACGCCAAACCGAACCCGACCCCAAACACCAACCCCTCCTTCCCCAACCGACCAGAACAACTAGGACAATCACAACAACTCGCCCAGAGACGACCACGCAAGCCAAGGCGACCAGACTACTATACCAAGGAGCTCGCGGCCGCCGAGCGCGCCAAGAAGGAAGCCGAGGAGCGCGCCGCCGAGTTTGCCAGCCGCGAGCGGGAGCGCCAGCAGCGCATCACCGAGCGGGAGCGGTACCGCAAGGCCATGGCGAAAGCCAAGGCGCCCGGGAAGGACGGCAAGCCCAAGGTCGGGCGGGAAAGTAAGATCTTGCTGGAAAGGGTCAAGAAGATTATGGGGCGGGTTTAGATTTGACACCCACTTTGTCTACGGATGGAGGGCGGGAATGGTATTAATGGTGGTTTTACGATGATACCCCCTCTGGCCCTGTCCCTGGTTCGTAAGGGAACGGGGATGGCAGACGAAGAGGAATGAGGCAGGAGCAGACCAGAAAGACAGTTTGGAACCACACACCTGCGAATAAATTTGGTTGCGGCACATGCTCAATGTCAAAACAGTGAATGGTCAGACTTTCAAGCTCAGCTGCTCAGCTGAAATTTTCAGCTAAGATCTATTCCTTGTTGCTCAGACAAAAAACCATGACAGATGAGTTCAGTCACCGTGAACAAATGAACGCCTGTTGAAAAATAACCCCCGCAACCACCCCTCCAGCTCTTCAAAAGCTCTCCCATTCCGCATGCCCAAGAGAGCAGGATATCGAACTCGGTGCAAGGAAGTGAAGAAAGCGATCAGAAATAGAGGCGTCTCTTGCCTAATGCCGGGCGTGCAAAGAAAATAGAGCGAACAGGAAAATCTGTACCAAAATGCAAGTCCCACCTCCATCAACAGACACTCATGTCCACCAAGCAACCAAGCCTTCAACAAGCATAGAGGATCACTGCACGTCTCAAACAAAAAGGTATATGCAAATCGCCAACAAAAAAAAAAAAGCAAGCAAGCAAGCAACATCTTATTCATTCAAGTCGACAACAACGAACCGTGTCTCTCATTTTCGCCCTCTTTACTTCGATCCACCAATCAGCACGCTTTGTGCTAGGGTCATGCGTCGCCAAAGATGACATGGCTGTTCTCGATCAAGAACTGCACCGCCACATTCTTCGCATGCATGTCCGTCATCTCCCTCTCGAGGCTGTGGTCGCGCATGATGGTCGGCGCGAAAACGACGGCCAGGTTCTTGGGCGACATCTTGAACACAAAAGTGGTCAGAGCCATACACAGAAACCTCACGAAATCGGGGGCTGACTTACCAAGTTCTCTCGCTCTCGGCTCGCCACCCGGGCGAGGTGGAACATAAGAAACTCGAGGCAGTCGCGGTGCTTGGGCGGGAGCATGTTGATCGTCTTTCTCATGTGAGCGCACCGCTCCATCTCGTTTTGTATCACTGCAAAACAGGCATGGTCAATACCAAAAAATCAACTCTCATAATAGATTGAATGGCCAACTTACTATTGGATTCCAATATCCGATCATAAATCTCAAACGTGAGCAGCGGCGTGGGCAGCTTGCGGAAGTACTGTTTCAGCACGCTCGTTACGGCCGTGATATCCAGCGACGGGTCCGAGATGTCGTAGTCCTCTGTCTTTTCGAACCCCTCCTGGATCGACTTGACGAGGGAATTGCCGCCCGTCTTGCGGTAGATGCCCTCGACGTCCATGCCGCGCAGCTCCACCTCCTCAATGCAGCGCGTCACCACGCTAGGGATCTGGCGCCGCTCGTAGTCGGCGCGCTCGACGAGCTCCGACCCGAACAGCGTGCTGGGCGCTTCCGCGGGGGCTGGGCTGGCCGACACATTCGTGACAGACGTCGATTTGGGAACGTTGGGTTGTTTCTTGCTGAAGAAGCCGAATCCTTGCCGCGTGTTTTCGGTCGCTGCCCGATTGGGCCCGCCCGAAGGGCCCATCATTACCGGGGACTCGATCTGGGCAACTGTCATGTTATAAGGGAGCCCGATGCTGTCGCCCGTCAGCCCCTGGGCCGGCCGGGTCTGCTCCTGTTGTTGGAATGCGCCTGCTGCCCGGTTGATGCCCTTCGAGATGTTGTGCGCCACTTTGCTGGAGCCTTTCTTCCAGTTGAACTTCTTCACCTGACCTTTGCGAATGTTGACAACCGTGGGTCCCTCCACAACCGTGTCCTCCGCATCGGGACCGACCAAGGTAGTGCCCGTTTGCATACTGGCCGAATCCAGGTTGACCGATGCAGACGATACGCCCTTCGCATGGCCGTAGATGCCCAGGCCGCTGGAAGGCATCCTTAGGTCGCCATTGCCGATTTGTTGCTTGAACCTCTCCTGGATCTGGTGCGTCAGGTCGTTGTTCATATCGGCAAGCTGCGCGTTCTTGGAAGACAGCTGCTCAAACTCGAGCAGCGCTCGGTCTCGGTCGGCAAGCGCCTGGGCCTTTTCCTCCAGGAGCTCGTCGCGCTCGGCATGGAGCTGCTCGATCGCTGCCGCCATGCTCTGCTTGACCTTGTCCAGCTTTTGCACAAACTCCTTGATCGCCGACTCTTCCAGCTCACGAGGATCGATGGGCTGGTTGGTCTTCTTGGCTCGCTCCACGTACCCAGCAAGTACCTCGATCTGGCGAATCATGATCTCGGTCTGAGTGTCCAACACCGAGACCGTCTTCCTCTTCTCAACAAGCTTTTTGTTCAGGCTCTGCAGATCCTTCTCCGTGTTGAACTGCCGCTCGAGCTCCGCCACACGCTGCTCGGAGCTCCTTAGTTGCCGTTTCAGGAAGGCCGGGTCCTCCTGCGCGCTTCCAGAGAGCGAGAGGGGGCTGCTGATGTCGTGGGCGCCGCTCGGATCCTCAGCAATCGGCGTCCTCGGCCAGCGGGGGGACGCGGTTCCCCTGGTCGTCTCGCTCACACTCCTACTATGACCGAGCCTCGCATAGTGGTTACCTACTTCAGCGCTGTTATTCCGGCCATGTCGGACCGCATTCGACACCCGCCGTAGGATCGATGACGAGCCCTCGTCGGTACCCAGTATCCTAGCCATATCCTCGTCCAAGGTAAACTCCCCGCCGGAACTCCATCGTGGTAATTTGGGTGACAGCTTTGGACCCGGCACTTCAACACCCGAGGTCGTGGGTTCCTTGGGGTTCTGTGTTGGGGGCTGGGGTGGCGCCCTGGGTTGCATGTACGTGTCGCTCAGTTTAGTCTCGGGTATGCTAGGACGCGGCGGTAGAGTAGGTTCGTTCCCATTCACTGGTTCCATAATTGTCAGTCCGCTCCCCTTTCCTCCAGTATACCCGGGTATTAGTAACTCACCGTTCCGCGACTGACTTTGAGGCAACTCCTTCCTCACAATAGGTGATTGTGTGGTAAGGACTTCTGGTCGGCCAGATGTCATCGAGTCTAACGAGGGCCGGACAGTATCGTCATCTCTCCGACGAGGGTCCTGAGGTCTCGGCGGGGGCGCCTTGTCTCCTGTCCCGGACTGGCGTGACACATCGCTATCTGTAGCGTTTGAGAGGGGCTCTCTATTTCGGGGAGGAGCTGGGGGTGCTTTGGCGGGAACAGATGTGTCCGGCAAATTGCCGGACAAGGAGTTGCTCCTAGAATCCCTGGAATTCCCCGACCTCTTGCTCTTGGGAGCATCTTGGAGCTTGAACTCGTCGTTGGGCTGAGTCTTCATACTAGAAATTTTCCCTTCCTCAGCAGTGGGCGAAGCACGGGAGTTTCCGTTCCTCTTGGAAAGTTTCCGAGCCGGTCGGTCCTGCTGAGGAACCTCATAATCCGACGATGGCTGTCTCCCCTTTTCCTGAAACGCGATGTGAGGCGTTGAGGCCTGCGAATCGGTCCGCTTCTCCGCGGCGGGCTTCGGCGAGCTGAAATAGTCCCTATCCTGATTTCTCCTGCTGGAGTCGGTAAATGCTTCCGACATGGATTGTGGGGTCAATGCCGGTGCTGGGCTAGGGTCGAGGGCGACGGGGATGAAAAAGCCACCGTCACCGTCGCCACTACTGAGTTCTCCTGCGAAAATGGCCGAGCTGCGGTTGTGCCTGTAGCTTGGGGCGGATGGTGCAAGGGAGGAGGACTCCTTCGACGGCTCTGGGGCCCGCTCAGGGGAAGGGTCGGGCCTCGAGCCGTTGCGGGAGGCGGACTCGGCTCTGCCGTAGGCGGCTCGAGGACGCGGAGAGAGCTCGGTCGGGGTATCGGAGTCGGGAGTCACGCGGTCATTGGAGAAGGCGTTGGGGGGCACGGCATTTGGCGGTAAGGCGGGTAGCGATTTGTCTGTAATCATGGGGGAGGCATCCTTCTCCCGTTTAGCCTGCGCAGCTGCCTTTGACTTCTTTCGCCGTCGCGCCATCAGGGACTCGTGGCAGTTCATGCAGAAGATGCCATGGGAGGTCCTGGCATAGCGCAAGTTCTCTATCTTCCTCTTGCAGTTCCTACAGCGGAAGCAGGTAGCGCAAAAAGCCTGATCACCAGTCAAGATGGCAAGATCCTCGATCTTATTCCCGCAGGCACTGCAGCTGTAGGTGCAGTTGTTGCAGATAAGTGAGCCATCGCCGAGGAGGAGTAGGTTCGCGTCCGAGTCGAGCAGTGTGTTGCAGGTATTGCAGCGGAAGCAGTCAAGATGCCACCGGTTCCCGGCTGAGGTTGGGTTAGTACACTGTCTCAATACCTCCTCCAGTAACAGCATCGCGCGACCAGTCTTGTTTGAGTCGAGACATACCAAGTTCGAATGCCTTCCCTTCCTCTAGGATCTGCAGGAGTACATGGTCAGCAAGGACTAGAACAAAGCTCCGAGTGCTCCAGAACACACCTCACCGCAGCCCTTGCAGGGAAAGATGTCGTCCGCGTCCATAGGACTCTCCAAGTAATCATCCATGACTGGCACGATTTGAGGGCGTGCAGCGCTCGTGAATCAGCCGACAGTGCGCCAACTACGAGGCAAGAGGTCGAGGCCGCAACGGCATCAACTTCTGCGGATGTGGCGTTGGGCGGTCAAACCGCCGAAGTAGGACATCCAATGAACAACTTCCTTCCCCAAGTTCAACTTCCACCAAGTATTATGCCTGACTGTTTTGTGTCGACGCGGGGAGGATGCGGTGGACAGTAAACAAAGAGCGGCGTAGCAGTCGTCGACTAGAGAGCCTGGTTCGTTCGTTCGTGCGGGTCGTGTCTCCCACCGAAGAGCGATCGACGAGAATGGGAACGAGAAAGAGCTCCGAAATTGAAACACTGTCGAATCGAGCCCAATGAAGCAGCGGGGCCCGATTTTCACTCCTGCGAAAGAGGAAGTATTCTTCCAAGTCGTCAAAGGAGCGGCTCAGAAGGGCGGGCGGAGAGCGTTTGTTGAGAAAGAGGAACAGTTTCGTGTTAACGTTAGGCGCAGCGCGGTTGGAGCAAGAGCCGGCCAGCCAAAATCCAGCAACGCAATCTGTACCTTGTATCCGGACCAGAAATAGTCTGAGCTGAGAAGGCATGCACAGTGGATACCAGGGTGCAATCGACACAACACCGGCTATGTGTCCTCGGCCGACTGCGAGCTCAAGAATGCGAAAAATGCACAGATGCCGGTTCGCTGGATTGGCTGTGCATTTTGGAGGCTTGTCGTCAACCAGTTCTGAGAACGTTGGCTTGCTCGCTGAAATGGGCTGTACTTGCAGGGTGCCTCCACAGTTGAGGCCAGGGGTTCAGCCGGGCGTTCAGGGGCAGCACAGGAGCTACGCGGGAGCCAATGACAGCGCGGTTACAGACGAGTGTCCATTCAATGCCAAGCCGCGTCAGGAAACGATCCCTGTTTGGAACCTGACTGTGGAAGCTGAGGTGATGGGAGTCCACTGCTTTCATCTCATGTCCTGTCAGAGTCTGGAATTTTGATTGCCTGACTGCCAGCAGCAGTCCGCAGTTGAAACCCTAGGAGACACTTGAGACGGTGCTCGAAGCCAGATCCTGTACCGGCGCAGGGTTTAGGTGTGTTCCCGAATTTGATGAACGTTCCTCCCAGGTGAAGCCATCCATGTCTCGCTCGACCCGACTACCTGGATACCTAACTACTCTTGAGAAACAAGCCCCCGAGACGCAGCCCGACAGCGTCGAAACGTGCAATAGGCGCCTGGGCCTTACAGACTTGAGGTGATTGCCGGAAAGAGGGACTTAACGGGATGGGGGAATGGCTGAAGGACAGCTGCATGTGCGAGCTCGGCAGTCGATTCGAGGTGTAAACTGGCCATCAATGGACGGCCTGGGGGACTGCATCGCGACAACCTTCCAATGTCATCCGTGGAATAGGCGTTTATACCATGACCAGCCGTCTGCAGTGTGTCAGCAAGAACTGTCTGACCACCTCTTTTAGCCTCGCAACTTACACAGTAGGACTAATGTAACGTAGGTCTTACTGATGCAGGCACACTAGTTTCCGGCGGCTGCTGTAACCAACAACGGCCTCCCCGGATCAGGTATCTCCTTTTCTTGATCGCCCGGTCCTCTCTTGGTTCAGATTCCTCAGCGAAAACCGCGGTATCTGAAACTGCCGCCCCAAGCCGTTGTAGTGCCTGTCGGTTATATACGATATCGTACATATAACGTTACGTACGTGGATAATACGGATTGGCACCGTCTTTGTAAATAACTTGAACACTGCCTACATGTCTCATCTCATAGCGCTGCTGTCAGCGAAACATTCAATCTGGGTCTCCCTGGGTTGACATGTCCCTTAAATAATAAATCGACTTAATAAACTGAGACATCGTTTTTCAGATCTACTGTCTTTTATGTAAACGGAGGTCCACGGCGTGCCTTTTATGGGATCTGCAAGTTTCGCCCAATAACGACATCCGCTGCTTGGCGTTTCAAATAGAAACCCGGCCCAGTCCGGTTCAATTAAATTTCCGACATCTTGCGATGAACTTGAAGAAACACGAGACGTCACCTCACCGAAGCTACACAAAACACCAGTTCTCTAAAGCGAAACCTAGGTCTTGTAGTGTGAAGACGTCCCCTCGAGCATGGAAACATCGACCGTCTCTTTTGCATGTTTATGTTTCTGCATAGGTACTCCATTACTGCCGCCCATGGAACCACGCCCCTAGGAAGCGCCGAGCTGTCCAGAGGACCTTGAAAAGGAAAGACGGGATTTGCTCAAGCACTTCTCGGGAATAGGGGAACCGCGTGGTTGCAATTCCCCGCGCTCGCGTCCGCCCGCCCCTGTATCCACGAAGGAAGTAATCTGGAACATGCCGAGCCAGAGTAGATTGGATACACTTGAAAACAGAATGTAGGCAGTCTTGCTAAGGTATGGAGACTAGAAAAAGGGCGCGGTGAGTAAGTTAGAGGGTGCCTATATGATATCCAATCCGGACTCTCCGTGGTAGGACAGAACGATGCCGAAGACAAACTCGACCGCTGTGACGATTGGCAACTTCACATACCTGATGTGTTTACTTGCTTCCTCTCCGTGGGGAAAGCATCTAGAAGAAGAGGAGCAAGGAGGAATCTGGGAAAAAGACGAAAGACAATGAATCCTCGGTACTGGGACCTTAGACTCGGTCCTTAAGGGTTTAGAGGTGTTGCACAATCAGTGACTTGTTCAAGTTCCGTTGATTCAAGAGCCGTATCGATCATCAGTTGAGACTACAGCATAGGAGAGTCAAATAGTCGGCCAAGCACACAAACAGACTGACTTCCATACGGAGTAATCAGGGCAACTCGCCACATACCAGCAACATAGTGTTGTGGCAAGCGCAGAGCGGAGAACGAACAGCGTCCATCGAAAGGCACCGCTACCTTGAGGGAGTTCAATAGTAAACTAGCTCAGCAGTATGTATATTAAGAAAACCAACAGAAAGCCCTGAACGCCAGGTAACCTGATCATGGCCGGCAATTTAACAAGTCTTTCCGTCAAGGCATAACCAGGAAACGCCGAACCAGCGCAGCCGTCGGTGGCAACCAACCACAAACCCTTGAAAGACGCCACGCTCTCTTTCCCGCTTGCATCCCCCCCCCTTCCAGCCCTAGTGTCGTGATTATACAATGCCGTAAGAGTGGGACATGACGAGCCCTCCTTTCCCAAAAAAAGAGAGAGAGGGAGAGAAAAACAACAAGTTAACCTCATGTTCCACCACCCAGCACAATGAGACCCAAGACAGAAAACCGCCAGGGTCGCTCAAACCACCTGCGCAACCCCTGCGGCGCCGACCTCCCTCTGCCGCCTCACAATATAATAAGTTATCAGACTCTTTGGGTCCTCCTTGACCCCCTTGACCGCGCCCCAGAACCTAGCATCCCCAACCCTCGCATGCAACGCAACACACAGTAGCACCGCGTCCATCCGAACCGCCGACTCCAAACTCTCCAGACACCTGCCCGCCAGGCCGGCCAGGGCCTCGAGCTCGGCCTCGCTGGGGCTGAACCCCCCGCCGCGCGCGTCCATCATCTCCCGGAGGACGTGCAGGCCCATGCTGAGCGACCTGCCGGCGCCTGAAGAAGTAGGCCCGTTCTCCACGTCCATGGCGCCGAGCATGCGGCAGAGCACCAGCACGATCTCGCTCGTGTCGCCGAGGTTCGCCAGCTCCGACGCGAGCAGCTCCAGCCCGCTGACGATGTGCGTGCGCCCGTCATAGGCGGCGCGGGCGCGCAGCAGGTTCTCCAGGCCGCGCGACACGTGCGGCTGGAACGAGTGGCGCATGCGTTTGAGCAGCAGCTTAATGGTCGCCAATACCTGGGCCTTGACGTCCTGCGCCTTTTCGGGGGCTAAGTTGGTGAGAGGCGACTCGAGGAAATCAAAGAGGCCCGACACCAGGGCGTCAAACCTGTCGTCGTTGAGCAGCGGGGCGCCGGCGGCCGTTTTGGTATCGCTGTCGCGGATAATGCTTTGGAGCTTGCGGAAACCGTGTACGTCAAGCGACTTTTGTTGGACTTTGGCAATTCCGCTGTCAAGCAGGCGCAGGTTCTGTCTGATCTTTTCCGGTGACACAGCGACGCCGTTGGTTTCGCCATTCTGCTGGGGTTGAAGCTGGACTGCCTGCTGCAAGATTGCGGCGTCCTCGTTGACGGGACGATCCTCCAGAACCGGGCCGGTAAAGATGGCCGTTGGTGTAAGCTGTTGCTCCCTGGTGAACGGGTCTTCATACACCTCCAAGCGTGGCGGGCTAGGCGGAGAAGGTGTAGGAGGCTCAACCGACGGTGGCGGAGCAGCCACGGGACTTTCACCCTTCGAAGCGGACGGAATGACCTGAGGAGGGCTGGTCGGCGCAACAGTAGGGGATCTAGTAGATCGTGAAGGCGTGCTAGCGGGGCTCAAGTTCGTTTGAACGTCCTCCACCGGGCTTTGAGGAGGCTGTTCCTCTTGAGGCGAGGTCCTCTGGGCCGTCACGGTCGGCACGACCAAAGTGAGATCCTCGTGTCCCTTGGAGGGGCTGCTCGAGGGCGGTACCACAGGCGGCGCCACGAATCTTGTGGGAGTGGTCCGGGGAGATCCAAAATGACTCGGTGTCCCCGCCCTCATCGGTGCTGGGAGGTGTGACTCGCTCGGACTTGCAACTTGGCACGGCCGGACATTTTTAGGGACCGTCCGTTTTGGTGATGAAGTGATTGACTTTGGCGTGACGGCTTTCGTTTTGGGGTTACTGGGCGGACTGTGCTGCTCTATTGAAGGTTGGTCATGGCTTCTAACCGAGTACGGTCCCGCAGTGGCTGGCCGGGCCGCCATCTCAGGCCTCCTTCTCCCCGGTCTCAACGGCGCACCTGAAATCCCGCCTGTAGAGGTTATGATGGCTGACTCGGGCCTTGTGCGCACCGTGGAGGTCGTTGTTGCTGCCGCCGTTTGGGTTGAACCCGACACAGTCCTGACGGGCGAGAAATGTGACATGGCAGAACCAGGTCGGGCGGGAAGGGCCTTGGTAGTCGCCATGGCTCTCTTCTGAGCAATCGCATCCCGAATGCTCGGCTTCGGGGGGCCCATTGTGCTCTTCGACAAACCCAGGCCAGGCCGAGCGGCCCCTTCCGGCTTCTTGGGCAGGTTGGGGTTGTTGGGATCGTTCTGCAGCAGCCGCGCCGCGGTCGAATCCAGTCCGCTCATGATAACCTCGGCCCTTGCCGGCCAGATGCTCGCGAAGGTCCAGTAAGTCGCACGCATCTTCTCCCTCACGCCAGGATTGGCATCGGCGAGGCCTTTCTTGATGCACTTCTCGATCAGGTCCAGGCCCCCTGTGTGCTCCACGTGATTCTTGTGGTGAGCTTCCTTGTTCAACAGTGTCTTCAGCCAGCCAGAGGCATAGAGTCGCGGCTGGACATTCTTGTCCTGGCATGCGCCCCAGATATGCTGCATAATCCGGGAATTGTAGGAAACCCGTGCGACAATGGTATCGACGGTAGTGTTTGCCTGCTGGGAGGCAATCTTCTTGGTGGCGGCTGTCAGCTTAATGAACGTCTGCATGAGCAACTCTACCATGGGATCCATTGCTGGGCCGTAGACTCGGGCGATGTCTTGGACCAAACTGCAGCCCTCCTTGGAAAGACTTGTCCGCAGCGAAACGACAGCTTTGATGATGCCGTCCAACAACGCTCGCAGGCCGGTGAGATATTGATCGTGAAAATCGGTAGCCGCGTTGCCAGCAATGAGTCTCCGCAGCCTGGTTATACTCTCCTCCCGCTTCAACCAGTTTTGCTCCGTCTCCTTGCCCTCAAAGTGGAAATGCATCTCTTTTAGGATCTCGTCGAGCTCGCGCAATGTGTTCACGTATGACGGTTCCACAGGCTCGGGACGGTTACTTTCTGGCAGCCCGGGAGTCACTGGGCGGTGGGACGTGGAGGATACGCTCGCAGCGAGGTTGTGGCGGGACGGCGCTGGCTCTTCAGGATTGTCCATCTGTGAAGCTGGAGCCGCGCTCGTGGGAATGAGCTCCTTGACAATCGCCTGCTCAATGGCCGGGCGAACCTTGAAACTTTTTAGTTGTCTCTTCAGGTCTGACTTTGCGGCATTGGGTGCGTTCCTTTGTCTCTTGTAAGTTGATGCCATTCCGCTAAACTGGGCTTGAATCGTACTTGAACAACTCTATGACTGTCGACTTGGCCACGTCGCGTACCATGCCGTCAGCATCCTCAAGCAGCTCCATCAGGGTCGGGACGTAGGCACGAAATTGGAGGCCATGCTCTTGATGCATCTACGCTCCAACTTAGTTCGTTTAATGCGACGACAGTTCCATGTCCAAGTGCATACCTGGAGTAGCCAATGTAGGCTGGCCTCTTTTGCCCGTGGGTTCTTGCCAACCATGGCTGTGTTGCGCACAGAGCGCTCAACCTCGACGGGCGCAACTTTGTACAGGGTGACCAGTATTTGAAGCGCCAGCTGGCGGAACTTCTCTTTCTGGTCGCCAAGTCTCTCAATAATCAAGGGCAGTGTGCGGACACCCTCCTTTGCCAGCGCCTTTGGATCCTGTCGCGAGAGTCTGGTGAACAGGTGATTGAGCGCAGTGAAGCCGGCATTGACGAGGTTGGCATGCTGAGAACTGGACGCTGTGCGCAGCGCGTCAAATACGGGTATTATACAGGATTCGGGTACTGTTTGTTGCTTGATACTTGACTTGATCGCTGTGACCTGCTGGACCTTGGCATCGACCGAGGCATCGCTGCGCAGTAGGAGGGTGATGAGGTCGGCGACCTGCTCGTCGGTAATTCTTTCTGACATTTTCCTCCCAATAGAGGGACGACAGCGTGATGGGCGTCAAGACAGACAGGCGCTGTGTAGAAACGGGTCAGGTTCCTGTCGAATTTCGGTAAGATTGGGTCGTCGGGTTGTTGCAGAAAAGGGAAGAAAACAAACACTGGGTAGCGTGATGTCGCAGAACTGTCTCTTAACACCATTAACAGATCCAACAGGACGGTGCACTTACAATATGTCAGACGGGCCTGGCTTGCAGACACAGGTGACATACAGGTAGGTATGCGGAAGCTGGTGGGAGGCTGTGACAGGCCTTCTTGATGGTGATGTTCGTCGGCGCAAATTACCTCGCGGCTGAGCTTGATCAAAGACATTGGGGTGGCGCGCGATGATTATCAATTGCCAGACCCATGCCAAATCAAGGGGGGCGCGCTGGCCAGGTGGGGCCACCCGTCACCTTAACAACCGGGCCGCTGCGTGACTTCTCTGCAACCCTGCAACCTTGCTAGGTACCCCGCAACCACTGTCCCATTCCATGTTTTACCCCGCGTGGTGAGATGCTCCCTAGAGGCCTAGCTCATCAACCCCCCTTAAGTTCTCGACAGTTGACAGGAGGTGAATCATGGAGCTGATTGTGAGAATCGATCTTATAAGTTGGATGGTCTAACGTTATCTCTTTGAGTCCTTCATAGTGCCAAAACTATCTACCGCTACATATCTTTGGCGACAACTGTGACATTGGATTCTCAAATATCCCTCGGAACACTCGCCGGTCCATTCAGGCTTTGTTTTCTTCTTTTTTTCTCTGCATAACCGCTATACTTATACTCCTTTATCACCTCCCCTAAGCCAACGCAATGACTGTGCGAGAACAAAACTATCCCGCATCGCCAACGCAGACTCCAGTTCCACTGCCTGACCGGACGCGAGACATCACCATCGAACCGAGCCAACAACAAGCATCGCAGCCAAAGACAGGCGACAGACGATTCGCACAACCAAAGCTCCGGCTCAAGATTCATGATCTCGGCCACCCCGGTGCTGCCAAGTTTCTTAACGCTGTCAATGCAGCCACCGTGGTCTCCGCAGCCGTAGAAAATGTCTTGCGACTGCTCTACAGGTCGCCCTCCGACGGAGACACAACCGTCCCGCCAACCCGGTCTGTTACGATTGTCCTTCGTGACATGGGCGGTGTCGCGTACACAACCGGGGTAGGGAATTGCCGCTCTTCAGTCACCCCCTGGACTCTCATATCCAAGTGACCTGAGTTCTTGACTTACACGCCTGATCTGAGCCCACAAGACCGATTTGGACGACGACCACAAAGCGATCCATTTCTCCCTCAACTACATCAACTCCATTAGCCCCGCCTCACGTCTCAAGGATGAGATCACCGGCGTCATCACGCACGAGCTCGTCCATTGCTACCAGTGGGATGCACAGGGTACCTGTCCGGGCGGGCTGATCGAGGGCATCGCCGACTGGGTGCGGTTGAATTGCAATCTCAGTCCGCCGCACTGGAAGAGAGAGACAGGAGGCGGTATGGGCTCTTTTCAGTTTCCTTATCTCCAGCTGCTCCTTGGAGCCATCGACGGGATTTTGCTAACAACCACTCAGACTGGGACAGAGGCTACCAGCACACTGCCTACTTCCTACAGTACCTCGAGTTGCGATTCGGCGAGGGTACCATCCGCCGGCTGAACGACAAGCTTCGGAATGACAAGTACAAGGCCGAGTGCTTCTGGCCAGAGCTCTTTGGGCAGTCCGTAGACAAGCTGTTTGGGGACTATGTCAAAAAGGCCAAGGATGAAGACGGTGATCTATGCTCGCAGTAACCATGGCGTAGATGTATACCAGGAAAGCATATGCAACTTTTTATATAACGTGGTCCACCATTGCGCGGCTCACCCATTGAGTGGCGCACTTTTGCCAGTACAACCACCACTTGACTTCCAGGCGTGTTTATTCCGCCAAAACGATGCAGGATATTCCGCTGAACACCGAGTGCTTCTAGTAATCGAAGCGATCCGATCGATCAACATCGTGTATAAGCATCCGTCGCGCTGTAGAGATCTACAACGTACCCGCGGCTACCATCCGCCGTAGAATGAAGGGCCAGCTCGCGAAAGCTGACAGCTATCACAGCCATTCGAATTTAACGAAGATAGAAGAGGGGGCCATTGTCTGGTACATACTAGTGTTGGAAAGCCAACAGCCACAATTCCACTGTGACACGCTTTATGGGAGCCGTTAAAACAGTGAACTTTTCGAGTACTTGGGACTAGCCCAGAATCTGTCAATTGAGTTGTCTTCTCTTCTTCTCCTCAGGTTACTTGGGTAGCTCCCGGACCTTATGTAACAGCTGTGTATTCCCTGACCAGGGTACGACACCGGCAACCCAGTTTCCGAGTTTCAAGTGCCATCACTTCCAACAACTAGACCGAGATTCGCGAGGGTTTTCGCCCTAGATTGTAAATATAGGTGATATTGCCAATCTTCTCTAATAGATTACGGATACTATACATTTCTAAGATGTTCTAAATTACCTATATAGCTCTTTTATAGTGTACCCTTATTAAGAATCGAATTGAATGACATTAGGACAGCTCTCCAACTCCAATTTTAGCTGCTATTAACCGGCTTTCAAAGGGATATAAGTAGTTTCTCATCAGACTACCCTTTTAGAAGCCGAGATATAGATATTTTAAAAGGTTAACGAAGCACTCTACAAGCGCTATAGAGCTAAACGGACGCGTCTCTTAAGATAGCGGAGCTATTAATAGAAGCCAAGCTAAGGGAAAAATGGCACAGAAGGGTGTAGTGGAAGAAGGAGGGCGTATCGAGGAGGAAAGTAAAAGACCATTGAAGAGGCGTTAGAGGTGTTTGCGGCTGTGTAGCATCTGCCGCAAGACTGGCCGCAATGCAAGAACATACCCGGAGGCTGAACAAATAGATAGTTCAAGCGAATCCGGGCGATTGCAATTGATTTCATCGGTTCTGGTGGACTATTGACAGTTTGGAGTGGTAAGGTCTGGAAAAGTGCGCCATTCAATAGTGAACCACGTTATCTTCATTTCGGAACTTAAGTTTCACTGGAATTTGGTCGTTTATGCCCTTTAGCCCGGACAGGTGGCACAAAACCCGCACCAGGCAGACTCCTATGTACTGTCCGCGGCAGCAGCCAGCTGACAACACAGACAGTACGACTTGAACCCATTCCCCCTGGGATCATCCAATGCCTTTGTTATCCCATCCAATCCATCCTATTCTCCCATTAACGCCATACCTAGTAAGGCCAAGAGGAACTAAGAGACACGAGATCGATGGTATCCGCATACAAACCCCAAAGTCATTCCGCACCGTAAATACTCCTACGCCCTCGCCAGACTCTCACTCTCACTAACAACGCTCCCCACGTCGGACCAGCTCCCGGGCGTGGGTACGCCGCCACCACCATCCGTCTCGCTCATGACATCGAACTCGTCCTCACCCCTTGACTCGCCCAGTACGTCGCGCGCAACGTCCACTCCAAATCCAGCCACCGACGCCGAGTCGGTTGGCGTGAGCTGCCCTTCGCTGATCAGTTCGGGCTCCGAAACGGGCGTCCGTGGAGTGCTGGGCAGCGGCGAGTAGAAGCCTTCATTGTGGGACGCGTTTTGCTGCGCCGCCCACGCCTGGATCGACGCGTACGCGCTGCGATCGTCTTGCCCGGCCGTCATGTACTCGTCGTCGGCGAGCTCGCGGTCCAGGGTCGCGCTGCGGGAGGAGGAGGTGGTTGTGGTGGTCGGGGAGGCCGGTTGTTGTGGGCCGTCATGGTGTTGGTCATGGTCTGAGCTTGTGGCCGTGCCGTACTCGCTGGGTGCGTGGGAGGCAAAGTCAAAGATGACTTCGCTTGCTGCCGCGGGGACTGGCACCGGCTGCAAGGGGGCGGCGGCCGATGCGGACTGGACAAGCGGGGTGGCGTTGTAGATGTCCGACATGACATCGTCGCGGGCTGGGGGGAGCAGGTCGGAGCGGTCTTCTAGTTCGATGCCATACTCGTCGCTGAAGGGGTTGGTGAGCAGCCTGGCGTTGAGTCCGCGAACAGCTTCGACGTTGACTCGGCGGCGGAGGACGTTGGAGGACTCAGCGGGCCAGGCATTCGCTCCGGTGTTATAGACATAGGTGCCGCTTTCGCCTGCCCCGTCCGGCTGTAGGAAGTCGTCAAAGGTCGAGCCGCGGGGCCGCTGCTGGGCTTCTGGGCTATGACGCTGCTTTTCGGTCTCGCGGCGCCTGTTCCAGTACATCAGCTCCTCCCGCTGCCGCCTTCTTGTTTCCTCGTCGGCGTCGACATCATGAGTTTGATAGAAGCCCTCGGCGTCTTCGGGCCGGTTGAACCGAGGCTCTCGGCTATTAGGGTTGTTTGGGTCGACGTTGTCTCCGAGCGAATGAAGGGCAATGGCTATGCGTCTGCGGAGGTCCTCAGCGGCGCGGCGGACCTCCGGTATTTCGTAGATGGCAATGGCAGCTGCCACGGCTACCGAGGCAGCGACGATGCCGACTGAGGCGAGAACAGCGTGGTTAACAGGTGGCATGCTGACAAGGCGGGGCAAGAATAAGGATGGCCAAGAGAATATGTCGAACTCGAACTTTGAGCGTGTTACGTGTTGTTATATCGTTGATGGTGGTGAATTCCCCGACAACCAGAGCAAGCCTTCGGACACGACATCTTGGGGCATAACAGTAGAGACTGAGAGATTGCGCGTCTTTCACGGGGAGCTCGCCACTTCGCCAGACTAGGCACCGTGATTCGCAAGTCAAGCGCGGGGCAGACAGGGGTACGGGAACACAGGGAGGCAGCTGTAACTCTCACCTTTGGCCGCGACGGGGACCGGCATGATTGACTGGAACAGGAGGCCCTTAAGAATCCCAACTCGCTTCCAGATTGACAACCAGAGATTGATGGGCGGCAAAGTGGGTGGGAAGATGGCAGCGGCAAAGCCGACTCGGGGGTTGGTGTGGCTTTTGTTCAAGCACCCGGACCCAGAGCTTACGTAGTGGCGGCAGCCCGGGCAAGGCGGGCCCGGTTCCGATTACAGCCCGCCTCGGTAATCGGGACAAAGGCGCAGTTTGTCTGGCTTCCATGTTGTTTCGAGACGAAATACGGAAGTATTTTTCATTATAACGATTTGTACTTGTCGCTACCAAAGAATCTGCTCACCACTTTATATATAATCAGCAGAATTAGCTAGTATTCACAGTAGCTGTAATAGATCCCAATTCGGGGAGGCGGCACTGCGAATGCCGATTCAGTTCTGCTAATCGAAGCTAAGGGAAGGAAGAGGGAGAGTATACGTCCGTACAGGATGCGCGTCTGCGACGCGGGAAAGATAAGTAGGCGCACAGGCCACCCACCGATCACCCACCGCTGAGAGCATGAGTCCAGGGCGCGCTTTCCGTCACAAGCCACCAATTTATAATACTACACCGTAGTAATTAGGCGCCAAAATATGGGCAACCAATTGATAATGATCCTGGTGTCAGCGTTCTCCCAAAACAGTTTCGGGACTTTTCCTGATCTTGAGAACCCTATTGCCAAACCATTAGTCACTCCTGAACTTCCTCCCTCACCTGACCATCTGCCAAATCCAACACACGTCCGGATCCGTAGTCTAGGGCGCCAGACCACATAGTCCGAAAGGCCTGTCTCCGCGTATACCATGTAAGAGGATCGCTCGGACATCGGCTTGATGATGCCCCACCCGTACCTCTCTGGATCGTTGTTTGAATGATCCGTACGGGCTGTACTGTCACGACGATGAAGCGAATCCGAAGCCCGAAAAGGAGTGAATTCCGAATCCAGACTCTAGCGCGGCACGCGGGAAAGAACTTTGTGGACTAAAACAGTCCTGTACTATGCTTCCGCGATGCCACTGTCAGCCGGCAACTCGGTTTGTCCGCGAGAAGTTAGGGCGTCGTTGTCCAGACGAACAGGGCGCCACCCAGCCAAAATATATATATATATATATAACGTTATAACGTTATTTATACTAAATAAATAAAATAGAATAAAACAAAGTCTTTCCCGGCGTTTCCGCCCTGCAGCCAGTAGGCTGCGCATTCTGCGTCGGTACGAAGAGCCTTTCCAACATATACACAGTAGTGCCGTGGGGCCCTGACCGAAAGCTGGCACACGCAGGGAACTCAAGCAATTGTTGATATGCCGCGGTGAAAAAGCTATACCGACGTTGCGTGAAAACAATCTCATTATAAATTTCCCAAAGGTAGAGAACCCAACCCAACTGTTTTGTCCACCGTCCTGAAACACGGGCAACGTACTGTAAATATGGAATTGATGAACCGCAGATAAACGACGGCGAGCACTCGGCGAGTTTGGCCCAACCACGAAATCCGACCATCCGTCCCATAATCGAGATCCACCTAGAAAGGTGGGTGTCGTCAGACCCCCACTGTAGCTGATGATGAATCCTTCTCCGTCCATCGGCCTTCCGATCCGTTCCACCCGCAACCTGGTCACCTTCCGGGGAGAAACTGGCGCTTTTATACTCCATCTCCGCTGGGGTATAATTTGCTACTGAGATGCCGCGCGAGCGATCTGCCGGTTGACGTGTCGTTCTCCGCTAGAGGTAAGTGGTGGGCGGGAGCGGCCCCCTCTTCGATGTTGGTATGACAAGTCTCAGTGAGACCTCAAGCTTGAGCTGGACGAAGTGGACGACGTCGTCTCAATCGACGAAGACGAGCCGGTCCGCTCAGCCTTCATCCTCTCGCTAGATGCTGGTTAGCACTCTGATGTGCCACTGAGAGGAGGAAACAAAGCCCTTACTGGGTGGCACGGTCCATGACGGTACATTGCCACTTGGCGTTGCCAGCCTTGATGTGGAACTTGAGGCCCTTGTTCTCAAGAGTGGCCTTGAGGGCTTCCTGTTGGTGCGGCATGTTGGAAGTGTTATGTGTTTCCGTGGCGTTGTGGAACGTGGGATGGCCGGCAGTGCTCGGCGTGGGAGAAGACGTATAGGTGGACTTGACAGAAGGGAAGATGAGTGCGGGAGAATCAAGGCGAGGGAGTTGGGGAGCGGAGGATCAGGGGAATTATATAGACGAGATGCCCTACCGCTTGCGGCAACGCTCAGGAAGGGCTGTTCGTATGATCCAGCCGCCCGTGTTACAGGAACGCCTGTTGGATTTCTGGAAAGGCAGGTCGGAAATGGGCCGGTGGCAGGCAGGCAGGGTGATCCCCATGCAACAGGACAATGAGCCATTTGTGAGTACGCCGCCTCCCGCGCTCACGCGAACCCCGGTAAGGTACCCTTGACGTTGCAGCTCCGTCAGGGCCCTCCCCACCATCTGGTTCTGGCCGACAAACAGGAGAAACCGGGCGTCTGGGCAAGCCTGGTTGATGCCGACGGCATGGCTTAAGTCCCGGCTACAGTGTAGGAATTCGAGTAACAATATCAGGTAGAGTATCCGTAAGATTTAGCGCTTCCCCGGACAAAAGCATCCCGGGTACCGGGTACCTTGATCCAGTCGATCGGCTAGCCCAAAGTGGCGGATTCAACAGCCCGGCTTACAAGCGAGACGCGGCCCATGGTCTCCGGATGGAAAGGTTCCAGTGCAAGAAGCCCACGACGAGACGCTGGACAGCGTCGGTCTGCGCTCGCACATGTTTGTCCAGTCCATGCCTGGTATTCTCCACTTTGGTGCGAGAGCAGAGCGAAGCAATGCTCAGCATTCTCAATCCTGGACAACTAAGGTAGAAACAGCCCAAAGTTTCCGTTAGCGCTCCCAGTTTCGGGTGATCGCAGAAAGCCAGAACTACGATGCCAATGGCAGAGCCCTATGACAGACGCCACTGACGGCTCTGCTGGCCTGTTCGCACGCTGCGCAGCTGTCCTCGTGTCGTCGGCGGCTGCACGGGTAACGCGGGTGTTGCCATGTAATTCGCTGTAGGGCTTGGCGTCGGTGAACAAACCGGCAACGTGCCGCATCCCCTTGTCATGGAAGGCCAACTCTGCTGCAGGACGTTGCAGGATCGACGGCCGAGTTTGACATTTGCAAGTACACGGTAACACGTAGTACGCTGCAGGAATGGTTGAGTGATTTTTTGGCACTCAATCGGAGGACGGTACAGGGCGAGGTGGTCTCATCGTCCGTCTGGCGCTGGGTTCGAATTCTGGCTCCAAATCCCATGGTGTCCAGTGTGCGTGATGAATTTCCCAAAACTGATGTGGGGTCTCGAACCTTTCACTGCGCGCCCCAAGTCCTTACATTTCCACAAATGTTGTTTTATCGCTAGCGGCGACCCCAGTTCAGGTTTCGACGTACCAGGTATCGTCCAATGACAGGTCACCTTCGTTCTGTCTTTGGTAAGTGGCGGTGAATTTGCCCTTGTAAGTCATAAACTCTCCCATTCTCTGTGTTTTCCAATCTCCCACCTTTGACGAGGACCAAGCTGCTTCCGACAGCCAACACCACGCTGGCGAGGACTCACATGCCAATACTTGCGCGGCAGAGATATACCGATCTTGGCGGGAGCATTCTGTACCAACCTGGCTAAGCAAGCGGCTTGAGTGGGTTTCCGGCTGTTTTTTACGGGATACTCGCAGCTTCCTGCCTTTGCCTCCTGCATCTTCTTCCATCCTATCCTCCACCAAGTGTTGCCGCTGAAGTCTCGGCGATGATTGTCAGGCGGAGTCTGATCCGGTCCAAGGGCGAGCGGGCGTGTTTTCGGTTGGCGGGCACATCCCGCGGTATAGACACGTGTATTCTCCAGGATTCTTTTCTCGCTCCATGTTTGGAACATATGCCGCTCATAGTCATCCCCATGGATTCTAGAGCCTCATGCTTCGATTCCCTAGACCCCATCCCTGAATTAGCCAACAGCAGTTCCACACTATGGCGGGACCAAACCACTTATTTCCGTGTGCTGATTCGATCACTTGCTTCCATGAATACGGTGATGCCTTCGATGATAAGAAAGATTATAGCACCAGATTGAAATATCCCTTTCGCGTTATCTTCCGACAAATTGAGCGGCTTTGGCCATTGCTTGTCCCGTGCGGGAGGTCGGGGCCGATTCCGCCCTACCCCCAAAATGGGGTGAAAGGGAGGGAGTGTGAGTGTATCCAGGGCCCCGTTACCTTGGAGAGACAAGCGTTGATTCTGGCTGTTGTACAGGAAGCGCCCAGCTTTTCAGAAGGGGCTCGCGTTTAAACTCGCCACGCGTCGAGTCGGAGCCGGCAAGACTCATGAAGCCTGACTTCTGGTCTTGTGGCTGCGCATGATGCAGCTGCTAAACCAAGGCGACGAGAATGACCTGAAGTACGTGACATCAGGTAGCTGAGGAGTTTGGCTCAGTTAGCACGGCGGTGGTAACGTGAGTCAAGATCTGCTAGGACAAATAGCTTAGCTCCAAAGAAACGGCTGGTCCTCCAGCTTTAAGGAACACCCCACGATGAATTGCCGTGTCCGACACTGCTGCAGGTCTTGTATGGCTGGCTTGACAAACATCCGGGTCAGCTGGATGTTTGCCAGGCCTATCAACGGCTGCCACCGGAATCCGCTGGTTACATAAGGGCCGCCACCCGTCTTGGAAATCTGTACGATGATGGCGGGAGATGGGGGGTGAAGAGGTTGAAACAAGGGGTCAGTTAGGAAGCTGCCACGAATGTCATCAATGGCTCTAATTGATTAGAACCTGGCTCTGCTACTCTCTTGACTTCGGCCCGATTTCATCCATGCTCCCGGAATCAAGCCAAATCATGATGGTGGACTGCCATCCATTAACATCGACGTTCTATGGTTGTCGACTGAAAGGAGGTCTAGTGTCTCCGTAGACGAATCTTGTGGCCCAACAGTACCAGCCATTGCCTGCCACATATAGGTACAACACCATTCAATGCCGTTTGCAGGCTGTCCATCATGTGACAGAATAGGTTCCATGCCCAGCCGGATTCCAGTTTTCACACTACATTCCGCAGACAAGACAACTCATCCACATGCGCGGCTTGTCTCCTTGGCCGTGTTCTGGTACTTCTACTACCCCTAGGACTGCCGATTTGCTACCCAAGCATGCCCAGTAAAGCCCAGCACGTCTGTTCTTCGGGCATCTTGGAAGACGCTCCTGGGCAGTGAACGCAACGTCGAAGAGCTAGCCCCTCCCCTCAGCCTGCCGCCCCCCCGATGGCTACCAACGAAAGCATCTCAAGGACATGTTAGACTTCCCGCCTCTTCGGCATCTGAACGAGCACATGTTGTCCCCGTACAGCCCCACCCGTACAAGGCAAACTCAAAGAAGGGAGAGCACAAGTTAACAGAGTGCGTACCACGTCCGGAATAGGAGAGCGTCATTACAATCGTCATCGTTAACAATCAGCCAAAATGCTATCAAAAGTTGGCCGCGGTACTAGTACAGTCTATACATGGATATCATAGCTTCTCGATGATGGCCGCCGCAAACTCGTGCGTCTTGGCCTTGCCGCCCAGGTCACCCGTCAGCGCCTTGCCCTCAGCGAGCGTGGCAAAGGCAGCCTTCTCGATCCGGTCCGCGTACTCGTTCAAGCCCATGTGCCTCAACATCATCATGGAGCTGAGGAGCAGAGCGGTGGGGTTGGCGAGACCCTTGCCGGCGATATCAGGAGCCGAACCGTGGACGGCCTCGAAAATGGAGCACTCGTCACCAATGTTGCCCGAGGGTGTCAGACCCAGCCCGCCAATCAAACCAGCGCACATGTCGGACAGGATATCGCCGTAGAGGTTGGGCATGACCAGGACCTTGTCGTTGTATGGGACCGGGTCAGTCGTCATCTTCAGACACGTGTTGTCGAGCAGCTCGGCGTCAAACTCGATATCCGGGAACTCCTTGGCGACCTGCTTGCCAACGTTGAGGAAAAGACCGTCGCTCATCTTCATGATGGTGGCCTTGTGGACGACGCGGACCTTCTTGCGGCCAATGGCCCGGGCATGCTGGAAGGCGAACCGCAAGACACGTTCGCTGGCCTCGCGAGTGATAAGCTTGATACTCTGGACGACACCATCCACCACGACGTGTTCAATGCCCGAATACTCGCCCTCGGTGTTCTCGCGAATCAGCACTGTGTCGACGTTGTCGTAGGGAGTCTTGTATCCGGCGACGGACCGGCAGGGCCGCAGGTTGGCGAAGAGGTTGAAGGTTCGGCGGAGGGTAAGGTTAAGGGAGACGTGGCCCTTGCCGATGGGAGTCTACAGCAACCGTCAGATGTGTGCAGCGGTGCGAGTCAGACTTGCATGCATGGACGTACGGCGAGGGGACCCTTCAGGGCAATCTTGTTCTTCCGGATGCTCTCAATGGCAGCGTCTGGAATCGCCGTCTTGCCATCCTTGAGGATAGGGTCGACGTTGATGGGCTCCCAAGTAATGGGGGTCTGTGATGTTGTGTCAGCGTTTATTCGTCGCAGCTTGCGCGCCGCCGGACGAACGGAAGTTGGCGACGAACCTTGGCGGCGGCGAAGATGTCCTTGACGGCAACGGCAATCTCAGGCCCAATGCCATCACCCTCGATCAAGCTGACAGTGTAGCGACCCTGCAGCCAGTGTTAGCTACGTCCGCCTTGTCTATGGCCGTGATGTGTTTTGAGTGATTTTCCATGCCAAGCCAGCAGTTGCGGTGGTTGGATAGAGGCATTAGAATCCGGCGGCTGCCTACCTGTGCATCTTTCTGTCCATTGAACTTGGCAACCCGGTCTTGCGACGAATATTGTCTCTGGTTCTAGAAGGCCAAGTTGTCAGTGCAAGTTCCCGTCGATGGTGGACAGGCCTAAGTTGGCGAACCTGGATCGAGAAAGAGACGGCCACACGGGGAGCTGCGCGCCAGCATTGGCGCTGCACCGGGGCGGCGATCGAGCGGAGGGCCAACATTATGACAACGTCTGCGGATGTCTTTTCTATTTAAGGGTGAGATGGGTCAGAGGGTCGAAAATTAGGTCGTGATGCGCCCCAAGTCTGCAAAAGGAGGTTGTTATGGCTGGCGATTTTGGGCGCAGATAAAAACTGATCGAATCCAAATTCACCTGCAACCAGGGCCGGGACCCACTGTTGATGCAAAGGTTTGGCGACGGGAACCGGCAGTGGACCGTGCACGTGCAGGATGCTCGTCGGCTGTATCAAGCCCGAGCTCGAATTACGTAGCTCGGTTGAAGATCATGTGCTCGGTATCCGTCGGATTTCACCTCCTGGCGGCAGGGGTGAAAGATCCCTGAAGTCCTGATGCCAAGCAACCTCCAAGTCGTTAGAATCCCGCTTATTATTTCTAGGCACCTAATCCTTGTTGAACCTAGAAACCCCCAGCTGCAGCTTGTAGCCGACTCGCAGAAGGTGCCAACAAAGGGAGAAGCATCTTGCTTTCATCGATTGAACCATCAATTTCTGGCGCTAAAACGTCGTACCAACGCCGCAGTATGGCAGATCTCGAGCGGACTGTCCTTGATTTTTACCAGATCTCGACGATCAACCCCGTGCAGTGGCCCGCCGAGAAGGACAACGACAGCGATGTGTCGGATGAAGAGATGACCAAGAAGATGCCCAACAGGAGGAAGTCGAGGTATCAAGCTCTAGAGAGGGCTGTGAGCACCCGCAGCAGCATCGTCCCAGGATCCGAAATTTCGGGCAGTGGCGTCGGTAATTTGGTGCAGAGGGACGAGCCAGACCCCCTTGGCACAACAGACAGCGTTGTCCGGACATTGAAACACATCGGAGTGCCGCTGCAGGATGACCTGAGGCTCCGTGAGTCTGGCCTGCGACATGGTGTGTCTGGAGGTTAGCGCGATTGACACATTGCTACCGCACAGGCAACCGCTTCCTCCTCTCGTCAACGACCTTCTCCCCGGCCCTGTTCCTCTCTCAGATGCATGCGACGGCCGACACCCAATCCCTGATCAATGGGCTTGAGGTTCTTTCCAAGTCGATTGATCAAAAATCCGCGTCCCTCAAGGTACTCGTGGAATCCAATTTCGAGCGCTTCGTCCGCGCCAAGGCGACCATCGACAATGTCTACAAGGAGATGAAATATCGCGGTGCCGACCTAACGCCTCCGCGTGCCAGAGGCCACTCTCGTCATGCTAGCAGGAATAGCTTTCGAAGTCGAAGTGGCAGCGGGCCCCCGCCCCTGAACCCACATTCTCCTGCTGCCGATCCGCGCAAGAAGAATGCGCTGATGAAGGAGAGCGAGTACGGCGTCTTGGGAGTGAAGGCGCCGCTGCTAGACGTCTCGGCCAAGGCAGAGGATGTCTGGGGCCCTGCGCTGGGAGGGAGGGAGAAGGAGGAACACCTCAAGACGGTGGCATCCGCCCTCGATCAATACAAGGAATATGTCGAGACGAGCGCGATAATATCGGACAGCATCAAGCGCAAAGACCATGAAACCCTGGTCGAAGAGTATACGAAAGCCAGGAGATTCGCAGACGAGGCGAAGCTCTTGGCCGAGGAGATCAAGTCGTCGCAGCCCACCGATGACCAGCTGTACCGGATTTTGCTGGCAGCACGGATGTGGCACGATGTCGAGGAGCAAATCCAGGTTCTCAAACGAGACATCTGGCGAAGACTGATCTCTCCGCACAATATGACCAAGGCGGACGCTCCGGGTCAGCGAGAGGATGAACAGCACATGGAGCTGATTTCGCTTCTCCTAGAGCTTGGGGTTGAGGACAACCCGATCTGGGTCTGGCTGCTGAGCCGCTACGACTACCTGAAGAGCAAGATCCAGTCCACTGCTGAGCGGTCAAAGGTGGAAATTGAGATTCTGCGTCGCCGCCTGGCCAACGCTGAGAAGCCGAGTCCACAGGCGATCGCATCCCATATGCGGGCACTTGGAAGACAGGCAATCGATAGCATGGCAAAAACCTTCGACTCCTCCGATGTCATCGAACTTTGGGAGATGAACATTGCTTTTATGAGCAATCTCCTGTCGCCGCAGGGAATACTGGGCGAGGTCCTGGAGTTCTGGCAAACTGTCCAGGGCTTCATCGATGGTAAAACGCAGAGGAGCATGCCAGTCGGTTACAACGGGGAGTCTAAAAACCACCACCGACTTTCCCAGCAAGGGACAATAGATCTCCAGAAGGGCACTGTTGAGTTGGTCGGCCTGATCCGAGACAACGTTCTCATGTTCTTTGCCGGCCCTCCGCCAGAGGACATCTCGCTGCTCTACTCGCCAATGCCGCCGCAATCTCCGGGGACGCCAGGTACCTCGGCCTCCGGGTTTCTGACACCAAGAGATCCCCGCTTCAACTTGGATCTGAACAACCCGCCACCCCCTTCACCGAAGAGGGGTGAGGCTTGGGAAAAGTTTGCTTTCTGGCCTCCTTGGTCAAATTCGCTCAGCGGTGTGCATTTCCTTTCCAAGATGCTTGCACTCGTAGGGACCGCCGCTTCAGACATGGCTTCTATCTCTCCAGTCGGGCAAGGAGATGCCGCCGAGGTTGAAAGGATCAAGTCTCTGGTGGGCATTGCCAGGGAGAGATGCGTGACCGCGCTTTGTGCAGCATGGAACAGGGATGCCGAAAACATAAAGTATGTTGAGGACTGGAACCGATCGCCCGACAGCCGCGACGTGACCAAGATGCCAGCAAGCTTTGCCGCGTTTGAGGGCGCCTTGCTCGGCGGGATGCAGAAGATACTTTACATCTCTGAAGCCATGTCAAAACCGGGGGCGGAGGATATTGTCCTCCCCCCGCCCACAAAGCTGCTGCAGATGGTGCGTAGTCAATACGTAACGACCCTCTACAAGGCCTTGAGCGGGATGGTGGAGAATGCCGAGCGGTACCCAAAGAAGACAAACGACGAGTGGACGGTTGAGGTTGACGGCTATGTCCTGGTCAACAACCTTGCCGTTTCACAGCTCTCGGCGGCTACGCTGGGGGGAGGCACGATAGATGCCGGCGACAGAGTAAGGGCTCCCATCCCGTATTCCATACATTACTCTCTCCCTAGCTAACTTACCCACCAGAACGTGCGCATGCTCCTGACCCTCAGCAATCTCCAAGCCCTCCGCTCAGCTGTGGTACCAAGTCTCAACACCCAGTTCGAAAATGCCTTCTCAGTCAAGCTCACCGACGAGACCAAAACGATCCGCGACGTCCTCAGCCAGATCGACGCCCGCCTCTTCCAGTCCTACACCCGCCCCTCCATCGACTCCCTCCGGCGCACCATCCGCGCCGGCGTGTCGTCGCCAGACTGGATTCCGCCACTTGGCACCAAGCCGCGCGAAGCGCGGCCCTACGTCTACGAGGCTCTCCTGTCCCTCGTGCTCGTCCACACCCAAGTATCAACCACGGTCTCGTCGCTCACCACCGAAGTGCTCTCCTACCTTCTCGAGCAGGCGTCGCGTGAGCTGCTCGACGCGTTCAAGACGCGGCCCCGGTACAGCCTTGAGGCGCTGATGCAGGCGACGCTCGATGTCGAGTTCGTCGCGCAAACGCTGAGCCACTACACGACGGACCGGGCGTCGGAGCTGCAAAGCGCCATCTACCAGGAGCTCGACTCGCGCACCGACAATGACGCGCGCGCCCGCCTGCAGGCCGAGCTGCCCGAGATGCGCGCCGTGCTGAAGCGGCTCAAGGAGGCGAGCAAGAGCGAGTTTGCCTGCTTCAAGAAGCCCAAGACAAGAGCCGGCCCTGGTGTGGGGAGCGGGCCGGAGAGGAGAGATACGGGGGATAGTAGTGTTGGGGGTGACCGGGAGAGGTGATTAAATGATTCGCTTGTCGCACGTATTTTTCTTCTCTTGAGAAGGCCGTGAATGTGGGAAATGTCAGTTCAGCAGGCATCTGCTTGGTTACTCGTCAGGGAATGTCGATGCCGTTTGCTTAGAAGCTAGAGAACAACATCTAGAAACTGGTATCCGAATCTGCAATGGGGTATTTCTAACACGAGAGAACCTTGTTCATCCGTCCGTCTCTTTTCTTTCCGCGACATCGGAAGTGGACACCTTTTTCCGAAAATGTCAACCAACATTTCCCCTCCGCCTTACAAAAGGCCAAGGAAGGGGAGCATTATATCATTAGTGAAGCCATTGCTGCACTGCAGTTGAGTACCCGCGCGGGGGAACGTTATAATCGTACACGGCGTGGGCTGCTGCCGTGAAAAGCACGGGACTAAACCCGCCGCCAGAAGCGAAGTCGAAGAAAAAAGAAGCCCCTTCACAATGCGCTCATTCGCCAGTCATGGGCCGGCCTCGTTCAAAGGTCGGTATTGGGCAAAAGAAGAGTCGAACAAAACAAGAGCTCGAATGAGCGAGAATCGGTGGGCGAGAAAGCCGGGCGCTCCTGCTTTGCTTTCACTTGGGCAACTGGGACGCAATACGGTTAGAGTGACAAAGGGCGTGCTCGCGATGGAAAAACAAAACCACTTACAGTCAAGGTTGATCGCCTCAAAATACTCCTTCATGGCCGGGCTCTCGTCCTCCGTTACCAGCTTGCCGTCCACATCCCGGCGTGTTGTCCGAGGAAGCGCCTTGCGAATGCCCAGCAGCATGTGTAAGAGATTGGCAATGACATAGCCCTGCTGGGCGAAACTGACGGGCTCCTTCTCTAGCGGCCAGAGGTGCCGCAAGTTTTCCTGCTCCCAGGCCTTGAAGGCCCAACTGGACTTCTCGACGCAGTTCAGAAGGATGAGCACGGCGAAGTACATGTTGAAGTCGATTTTGACTTTGCTGTCTTGGAGCACGCGCTGCATTCCGGTGAGGAGCGCCTTGCTAGTGGCAGCCGCCTTCCTCTCCGCGGCGGCCGCAAGCTGAAGACATATCGTATTGAAGAGCTCTCCGTCTGTATCTTCCTTAATCGACTTTGCAGGGGCGTCTTCGGCCCATGCTTTGGCGCTAATCGTCCATTGACGCTCTCGGTCAAGTATCTCTACGAGACCCCACAGCTCAAGCGCTTTCTTGAGCAGCTCGTCGTTCGTCCTGCCGGCGACATCGGAGGCGGTCTGCAGGGTAACCTGCATGAAATGGGAAGGTTCACGGTTGATCATGTCTTGCAATATCTCGCGCATGTATGTCTCAACTTTGGTTGGTACATCCTGGTTGTCGTTGTCGAGCATGACAATGGGATATGTGGACGGCCTGTCATCGATGACGGCCGGGTCCACACTCTTTCCCTCAGCGTCTCTGTTTGGGTTTCGCTGCAACACCTGAAGCTGCAGGCGAGGAGCGCAATCTGGGAAATGACATGCCTCAACGACAACGCCGTGGCTGCCCAGAGCCATGGCTTGCTTGATCGAGTTGACCCTGGCCTGGGCAAGAACGATCTGTACCCCGGCGGAGTATAGGTCCAACTGTTCTGAGAACTTGGTACGAACGCAGCCTGATCGCCAGACACGCGGCGACAGAACCTTGCGGCAGGTATCACAAGGCGAACCTTGGGAGCAAGTCTTCCTGAGGACTCGGCACCGGATGCAAGCGCCAATCTTCCGCACCTCCTGGACCTCCTTTCTCCTCGTTGCATTGAAACGGGCCCTCGAGTGGCGAGACTTTGCCCCATTCGGACCAGCGTCCAAGCGGAAAACACCTTTGCCGAGAGGGGCCATTGTAGATTGGATGGGAGCATTGTTGATTACGGTCGCCTGAAATGAATCGGTCGCATATGTAATTTCCCCCCAAGGCGGCGGCGCAGGTGGTGTTGGAACTGAGGAAACGCTTGGAGCAGAAGTCGGCTCTTCTGTACCGCTCATGTCGGCCACCGGGAGGCTGTTCGTTGCTGTAGCAATGGCAACGGCGGCGACGTTGGCAGTAGCAGTCGCAGCCTCCGCAGCGGCAGCGGCTTCTTCACCAAGAATCTCGGGGTCGAGATAGGCGGGGTTCAAGCGAGCCGTGGCAGCAGCGGCCATGGTAATGTTTGCAGAGTCGGATCGTGCATCCTCGGCGCGTAGAATCTCTTGAAGACGTTCTTCAGCAGTGGGCGCTCGGTCTGCCTCGTCCGGGTGAGTTTCGGCTGCAAAAATTGTCAGCTCGATGCAATGTTCTGGTTTCAGCATCAGTCTTCCACGCACCCTTGATTGGATGTTCCGTGTCATTGTCCTGGTTTAGGGGCGGGTTATCGGCCGCAAACTGTGGTTCCTGTAGCTCGAAGCGCTCCGATGGTTGCGGACCAAGCGGTGCGAGAGCCGCGGCGGCCGCACCATTCGGCAGACCGCGGTCGTCGTTCTTCTCGTTCAGGTCAATTTGTCGCGAGACTTCGGCGAGAACACCGAGCGCTGTCCAGTCGCGCTGGAGCATGGGAATATCGACCGAAGAGCCATTGGCCTGAATGTGAGCTTGTACCGGCGCCTGAGATGGCTGACTCGGCTGGAATCGCTGCGAGGCATCGCTCATGCCTGAGAGGGCCAAGAGGGCGTTGACACGTTCGGCTTCGGAGATCGCCGGACATTTCTTGGTCAGATGGCTCGTCAGGCTGTCGAGTCGGCCGCGTGGAAAGTGTTCTCCGCACCTGTGGTTGCAGATCAATCGGTCAGCTACCGCGAGTAGTGACTCGGGAACAAGCGGTAGGTAAAGAGCGGTGGCTCACGCTTTGCAGGTGTGGGGATAGCGATTGCTCTGGTCTTGCAGCTTCGGGCCCCGCTCAAAATACTGCAGGATGAGCGGGTTCGGCCGTCTTCCCATTGTTGCAAGTTAATGTTCCGGGTGTCGCATTGATGGGCCGGAAGCTAAGGGCTGCTGGTAGTTGAGCTTTGTTCCGGTGCTGGGGAGGGGTCTTGTCGGTGAATACTGCCGTCAATACGATTTCCTGAAGTCGGTCAGGAATTTGGCGGTCAAATCCCGCCGGTCCTAACATTAGCAGGCGGGTCTGTCAGGTCACGTGAGTGGCACTTCTTGTATCTTACTCCGTACCCGTACTGTACACGTTTTGGGACAACCATGAATGTACAAATAGAGCCCAAAAGGGGGGCATAATACAAACCTAATAAGGAGACAGCACTAAGAATGTGTAGTGAAACATCCGACCGCCACGAACCACTGCAGTTAGAAGCTTATTCATGTGGCCAGAGTAATGAGATGCTGAGTTCCAAATTAAAAAGGAAACATCGACGGAGGCTATGGTCTGTCTGTCTAGCCAATTGGTTCTTGCAAGGTCAGGTCGGATATCCGTACGGTAGCTTATTCGACATGAAATCAGCCTGTCCCACTGTCCCAGTCCTCTCGACACCAAACTCGGACTTGCAAACCCGAGGAATCAGATTCTCGCAATTGCAAGAAGGTCAATGCGAGTACACTGTCGCTGTTGGAGGTACTCTGTACCTTAGAGTCGTTTCGTGATGCCGCAACCACCCACGCCAAGTACAGGCCAAGAGAACCAAGCTTTGGCTTGGCTGATCGTTTCCCGGCAGAGCCGCACTCTCATCAAACCAGCGCATCATCCTTGCTGACGCGTTTCGTCTGTCCGCTTCCACCCAGTCCGGCACCGTCCCCGAATCGCAGAATGCCCCTCCTGACGCAGCACCACGCCGAGCCAACCTCCACAATGGGATGAGATGAACAATCCTCAACGACCAGTCGGCCGCACCGAACCCCTTCCAATCTGAACCTGGCTGAGAACGGCCGTCTTTGATGCTGGCGGTTTTTTAGGCACGTGCCCGAGCCCCTGCCCCTGACTGCCGACATAGCATGCCCGCCATGTTGCTCCTCCACCAAACCGGCAGCGTCAAGATTGGCGAGGTGGTCCGCTACACCGTAACCTACAAGCCCTCGGCCGACCACATCCTTCCGTCTCCCGAGTGCCTTTACCTGCGCATCAAGAACACTTGCGCCATCGCTCTCCGCGCCGCCTTCGTCCACGGCCCCTACACACTGTCGGCTGCTGCATATCCCTCGACATTCAGGCCATTCGAAAAATTCGAAAACCCCCGTCGCTATGGCGTCCCCGAGTTCGAACCCATGCTCAAGGCCGGCGCCGTCTGGAACTGTCACCTGGTGGTACCTGACAACATCCGGCAGAGCGCCGGCGAGGGCAGCAGCAAACACGGGCACTTTGGGGGGGGACCCGACCATGATGCGGACACAGTGTCGTGGGTCATAGAGGTTGCCTCGCAGGTCATCTTCTCCAGCTCAGCATCGGTGCACTACGAGATTTTGTTGTCGCGCGACGAGAAGTCATTGAATCTCGGATCTGCGGTGCCAGTCATTGGGGGGCAAGTTCAAATGTCCCAGCCAGGCCGTGTGAGCGATTTCCAGCAGAGTCCCGGCGCAGTGAAGGACCACCCAGCCCAGCCGAAGGGCGTGTTCTCCAAAGCCATACACCTCAAGGTGGAGGACACGGCGGCTTTGTGGAATACTCCCGAGGTGCCAGGCTGGCACGATGTGGGATGGCTCCGAGCCAGGGAAGACGAGCTTGCCGATACGCAGAACGAGCCTGTTTTGGAGAGCGGAAAGTCCGAAGAGCCAGGGCGGCTGGCAAGAGTCAGGCAGAAGAGGGTTCATCTCGTTGTGCTCACACACGGGTTGCACAGCAATCTCGGCGGTGACATGCTGTTCCTCAAGGAGAGCATAGATGCTGCCGCCAAGCAGGCAAGGATCGACGCGAAAGCGCGCAAAGCAAGGGAGCGAGCTGCGAGAAAGCCTGCAACTCCTGAAACCAATGCGCCCGTGGATGGCTCTCAAGAAACCAATCAACCTTCGCCCCCTGTTTCTCCCCCAGGGCCGGACGCAGATAACGCTGACCAACAGGGGGCCGGCGACCGGGAAGAGGATCTAACTGATGACGACGGTGAGGAGGTCATTGTCCGTGGCTTCACTCAAAATGCGACAAAGACCGAAAGGGGCATCAAGTACCTGGGAAAACGCCTTGCCAGATATATCTTGTTGATGACCTACCCGGACCAGCCATGCTTGCCGACCGCCAAAGCAGCTTCCGAGGCCATTGCCCACTCGCTCAAGTCGAGCGCACAGAAGAAGGCTATGGAAGAGGCACACAAGCATAGTTCTGTTCATCATACGCCTCCACCGGGGGGTAAGCGACTGTACAAATTCACCAAGATCAGTTTCATCGGTCACTCCCTGGGCGGGTTGGTACAAACCTATGCTGTTGCGTACATACAAAAGCACTCGCCGCATTTTTTTGATTTCATTGAACCCGTCAACTTCATCGCCTTGGCGTCGCCGTTCCTCGGCCTCAACCACGAGAACCCGCTCTATGTGAAGTTTGCCTTGGATTTCGGCCTAGTGGGGAGAACTGGTCAGGATCTCGGGCTGACCTGGAGAGCCCCGACCATCGCCCGCAACGGTTGGGGTGCACTCGTCAGTAATCTTGGGGAACACGCGCAGAAGCGTGTATACGGGGAGCCTCAGCCGGAGTCCAAGCCACTGCTTCGGATCTTGCCCACCGGACCAGCTCATAAGGCACTGAAAAAGTTCCGGAACAGAACAGTTTACTCGAATGTGGTGAACGACGGCATCGTGCCTCTCCGAACAAGCTGCCTCCTTTTCCTTGACTGGCAAGGCCTGGGACGTGTTGAAAAAGCTCGTCGAGAGGCTGGTCTTGTGGAAACAGTCGTTGGGTTTGGATGGGCAGAGCTGACCGGCGCGACTGTCACGACCCCGAGGCTTGCGCCATGGTCACCCGTAGAGACGGAGAGCAAGGACGGGATTGACGGCACGGGCAAGACCACCCCAACAGGCCGAGAGGATTCTCATCAAGTTCCTCAACCACCGACCGATGCCGTGTTGGAGGACGACCAGCAGAGTCTCAGATCGATGGCTAGCCCGTACCGGGAGACGCCACCTCCGGAGCTGCAACACCTTCAGAGCTCAAGTACAACCACGTCAAATCCGTTTTCTTCTATCTTCAAATTATTCCGCAGCGAGACGCCAAAGCCGCAACCACCAGCGTCTCCCAAAGTCACCAAGATCTACCAGCGAGGTCAGACGCTCAAGGCGGGCGACTGGTCCGCCGCCGCCTCTGCTACCTCGTCCAAGGTCACGAGCGGAAGCGAAATAACAGAAAAGCCTGAGAGCTTGTCGGCACCTCCGCGGACAACCATTTTCGAATCAGCAGGCGACCTACTTAATCCAAAACTACCTCCTGTCGAATTCCTCATCGACCCATCCAAACGGCCTAGGACCATCTTCCACGACCGGGTGTACCACCCTGCGGACATCCCTCCACCACCACTGAAGCAGCGGTCTTCAAGCCCGTTAACTCTGCGCCGCCGAACACCGACAACGAACTCCTCCCAGAAGACAGCCCAAAGCGATATATCCTCGCCGGCCCCATCCCAACCAACAGATCTCGCAGTCACCAATCCCTCCCGACAATCCACGACCCCCAAACAAAGCACCTCCTCAACCAGCGATGGATCCACAGTCCACGGCCTCCCCCTGTACAGCCCGCCTCCCGGCAGCAGCAACGCCACCGACATGCCACCCGAAGTCGACATTGACACCTCCCAGATGCGCGTCGAAGAAAAGATTGCCCGCGCCTACCACCGCGACCTGTCCTGGCGCAAGGTCCTCGTCAAGCTCGAGCCAGATGCGCACAACAACATCATTGTGCGCCGCACCTTCGCCAACGCGTTCGGCTGGCCCGTCGTCCAGCACCTCGTCGAGGCGCACTTCTCGGACGCCGTCACGGCGCGCTGCCGGGACGAGGACGAGCCTGACGTCGAGAGGGCGAGGGATGTTCGGCTGGCGCCGGGGGAGGACGGCCGGGAGACTAAGCGGGGTGGGAAGGGGCTTAACGCGAGAGGGGAAACGGTTACGGTTGGGGAACGAGTTGGGGATCATCGGGAGAAGGAGGGGGAGGAGGGGCAGGGGGAGGGGGAGTGGGAGAGTGGCGACACGGTGCCGGAGTTGCCGAAAAGTCCGCAGCTCTCTCCGTCTTTGGTTGGGGGTGGTGGTGGGAATGGGCTTGGCGTGCCTGCTACAGCCGAGACGCCGCCGGCCCGGACGGCGCCGACTTCTCCACGCCCGCCGCTGAATAGGCTTGATTCGGTCACTTGGAGCGACCGGGATTGGGTGGATAGTGAGGATGAGAGCGACGAAGGCGGGAGTGGGAGTGGTGAGAAAAACCAGGGTGGAGGTTTTGGCATACCGGTTAGCGGTGGTGAGAAGAGCTCGAGTCCAGTGATGTGGAACTGGACGGAGAAGATTGTGGGAAAGGGGGCGAGCCGGCTTAAGTCAGCTGTTGGTGGTGGTGGCTCTGGAACCGGGCCTGAGGCTGGCAAGAAGTAAAGTAATCAACTCCTGACTGGGCAATGGTTCGTGTTATGTGGTTAACTCGGGCTTCACAGGGTGTGTCGGTGTTGGGTCGTTTCGGATAGTGGATGGGTTCCTGGAGGCGCGGTTCATAGAGATGAATAGATCTGCATATCGATCGTGGTTTAGCTAGGTCGTGTCAGCTTTCATTCCGTCTCATCCACTGATGCCTTGAGATTTGGAGGAACTGAGCAGTTAAGATAACTTAGATGTCTAGTATAGTCTTAATCTATTAATGTGGTCCACCATTGCGCGGCTCACCCATTGAGTGGCGCACTTTTCCCAGTACAACCAGCACATTGACTTCCAGACGTGTTTATTCCACCAAAACGATGTAGGTTCATTCCTCTGAACACCGAGTGCTTCTAACAATTGAAGCGATCCAATCAACACCGCGTATAAGTATCCGTCGGGCTGCAGAAATCTACAATGTACCCGCGACTACCATCCGCCGTAAAATGAAGGGCCAGTTCGCGAAAGCCGATAGCTATTACGGCCGTTCGAATCTAACGAAGATAGAAGAGAAGGCTATTGTTCAGTATTATTATCATTATTATTATTATTATTATTCCTATACCGCTATGCCCTAGGGCTCGCCGGATCCTCTATCACTAAGTGGTTTTTCCATTTACTTTAATGTCAAGTAGTTTTGTCTCTTGTCGAACCTATTATATTACGAACAGTCTTTTGATAGTATATAATTCCTTCTTGAATATCTATGCCATCCGTAGTTAATTGACGAATATTGGCGAGATAAGGTTAAGCTATAAGCTCTAGGTCACTATATACTAGAACGGATTCTAGGCTCTAACGTTAGTAGATAGAGCTTATTATTTGGTCGCTGGTTTAAAACAGCAGCTACTTCATATTCGCTTGCTAGGAGATTATAATAGGCCTATCGTCTATGCTAGTTCTTCCTATACTACGCGTGTCACAAATGAACCAACGAGAGTCAACAACGGCGGCTTACTTACAGAAGCCAGTGGGGAACGTAGGACGTTCCGAGCCAATCACTTAGGACCAATCGGAACGAGT